TGAGGTCAGAGACGAGTCAACCGCGGCAGGGGTCCACCTTTGAAGGGGTTGTCGACGTCCAAGGCCATGTTGGGCAGTTCGAACCAGGCCAGTCAATGCCGCATTGCAGGAAGCCTTGCAATGTGATGATTATGCGGTGAATAGGTCGGCGTATTGGGGCTTGGAAGCGCGGGGTTGGGGTATGTTGATGCCGTCGACGTTGAGGTGACTTGCAGTTGGTTGGCGCTGCGACCTTTGGCGGCGATTGCATACCCCAATGTCTTGGATCGTATCCCACGTTTTGGGGGAGTTGAGTCAAGTAGGTGCCTCAAGGTCTTGACGCGGCCAGTCGAGTCTTTGCCTAGTATGCTCCGGGAAGGCCTGCTCTGCTATTACTCACATCGTGGCCGTTTCCATCACAGGCTCGCTATTCTAGCCGTTCTCCCTCAGCACCCGTATCGTACTTGCCTTGCTCAGATATCAAATTCAGTTGGCTGCAGTTTATCGTGCAGCAGGGAAGGACGAAGACATCGGCTCGCATTTCCCTTTACCACTCGTGACAGGGTTTAGACGGCACGGCAGGAGCGGGAAGAGCAGGCATGAACAGAGACTACGGTAAGGTGCTCCGATCTCCACGAGGGAAACAGGCGCATAATGACAGGCAGGATCCAAGTCAGTACCTGCCTTGGGTTCGCAATCCTCGGGTGGCTCTCGGAAGCGCCCGAGAACGAACGCCGTCCCTCGTTCGCGGTGTCAGATATAGTGAATGTCAGATGCCACCCACGGTTGTGCCAGCAGGACTATCGCGACTTGGGATCACGAATGAGACTTGACACCAAGAGCAGAAATGAACTTTTTGACTTCCTCTTTGCAGTCAGGCAACCCACGAGAGGGCATCTTTGAACGTCTCCCGTGCCTCAGTGGGTTCAAGCTGCATAACATCGGAAGCAGCAGTCCTCGCCGTTGCTCTAGAACCATGGTAGCATCGTCTTTCATGTTTCTCCGCCAATAGTCGCAAGCACAGCGGCACTCACACGGCAACAGATGCTTCAGGGCCGGCGAAGGCCTTCCCTTCTGGCTTACTGGCTCAACTGCCCGGTGTCAATTTCCCCTGAACCCGAGATGTACTGTTGCGTGATCTCAACCCACGCGAGCAACGCCTGCAGACCATAAGAGAAATGAAAACCGCAGGATTCAAGGGCCAGCGGGAGAGCAACGCCGCTGCCGAACTTGATGAAACTTTTGTAATGCTCAGCAGCTAACACCCGACCCTTGCAATGTGTCTGACCAAGACACGATCCAACTCAGGAAGTCAACTACGTAGAACACTTTAAGTTGGCAATGAAGGCAGTGGTCCATGTTCTTCTCAAAGACTTTGAGATGTGTTTCTTGAGCACCTGCTGGAGGGACAGTACAGGGTCTTCCGCCGACTGAAGAACCGACGACAGCCAACAAGACGAGCCAACCGCCAGTATCATCTCTGATCGTTATACGACTCGCCGGAATCTAGATTGGAAAAGATACGGCTGGACCAAAACACGGCATGAGCGATGTGGGGTTTGTTGTGAACCGCAGGGTCAGAACCATGGTTCAGTGAGAACACCATATTGATCTTCGGCGTAGCATTACAGCGAGTGCGGATGTCAATCTTAAGAGGGACGGGAAGCATTTTACGTGGTATGGGGATAGTAGAGAGCTTTCTTCATTCAACAATCCGCATCTGGTTGGCCCTAGAGGAGTATGATGGAAACAAGGCAAAGAGGGAGTGCACGAAATCATACCATAGCTCGTCTTGAACTCCACACTGACAACATCTGTCCACACTCGGTTTACAAGCCATGAGATGCCGTGGATATACGCAGAGTACGAAACGAATACGCTTAGCCTGCTAGGGTACGTCAGGAAAGACGCCGCGGCCGTTGCTCTCTCGAGAAACTCCCATCCAAGAACGGCCAGACCGATGTGGGCACTTAAGAACGACCCCTCACACTCCGCTGAGGGGACTTACGTCGCTGGCAACGCATGACAAAAGCACGCGTGCCGCTCTTGGCATGGAAGGGGAGGTCAACCGCCATCAAATTACCTAGAGGAACAACAGTCCCGGTTGGGCGGCTGGCAAGAGTGCAACAGCCCGTCTCCGCCTGTACGGTGTGCGTGACCTATGACATCCGACTCCAGAGACCTCCTTTTCAAAGGCCAGCGCTTCGAGCATCCGCTTTGCCACAATCAAGGGCTTGCTTCCTTGGGGGTTTATTCGTCTCACAGCGTATGCAAAGGTGACAAACGGTATTCGAAGCCGAGGGACCGCCATTCCATGATCCTTGATGAAGGCCGCCCTTGAAAGCCGGATTAGCATACCAACGGTCTTGATTGCGGGAAAGGATAGATGTTTGTGCATATAAGAGTGGTACACAAGTCGTCCTCTCCTTCTAACACTGCACCATCGACGATGAGGCATTCTACCAAATGACGGGCCGAGTGGTTTTCTCTGTGCAGAGTAAGCACCATTCCCCATCATACGTCGGCCGCATTTTCGGAAAGCACCGAGGTTGGTGCAGACATCAGTCGAAAAGACCCTTCACCCCTCAGCTGGATGACTGCAATAATTGATATCAGCCCCGACCTGCCTACGATGTCGACTTTGTCATTTTGACACACTTACCTTATAGACTTCCGTTCAGGGGCTTCGAGACGTTGGAGCTGCCCACGACACGTAACGGTCTAGAATATCTCGTAGGCGGCGAACACTCACGGGGCGGTTGCGGCAAGTTGAATGATAGAATTTGGATGGTCAAACGCCATGAGAGCCAAGATACCAGTTCGTGATAGCTTGGTTGACAGAAGTGGAGAGAGTCCCAGTGAAGACCTGCCTCGCCGGCTGGACGATCTACATTCTCAGCCCGAAGACTCAATCACAATACCAGTGATGAGATGAACCGTGAGAAGGGAAAGGGGCCGGGCTGGGTTAGTATACTTCGATGCTTAAGTCATACGCGAGACACTCAACGCCTCGCGAGAGGCTAAGGGGTAACCAAAATCCCATGACTCTGGAAATTCACCACTCAGGGATACAGTGATTCAAAGAGCAGGGAGCTAGCCCATCAAGTAAGTAGCGCTTCGGTGCCTAACCAGCCGGAGGTCAAAAAGCAGCGCATGCGGTGAAGATCAACCAAAACTCTCATGTCCGCCCTACCCTGGCCCCAACCCGGAAACCTATTAAGACTATCTCGGTCTCCGAGGAGTAATCAAATACACACGGAGATGCGGCTCATACACTTCGGCCCAAGATTGCCGGGCTGGCAGGGAAGGGGCCGGGTGTGTGTTCGTTCGACGGGTACCCAAACTACTGGATGCGGCGAATAACCACCGAGCCCAGGGCGGGCGCGACTTGACCCAAGCAATCGGCGCCCAGCGGAGAAGTTCTCCTCGTGCGTGTCAGTTCGCCGGCATTTGAACTCTGAAAGGCTAATCTGGGCTGGTGGGCAGAGCGTCCGAACGGTGATTTTTGGATTTTTCCGTCGGAGGGGGTGGGGCACACGGAGCGAGCGGTGGTCTGGCCGGTGTGCAAGTCAGAGAGATCATGTGTAGGCGGAAATTACAGGAAATTTGATTCTGCCAGTGAAACTCGTAAATCCGAGGGCTGGCTGGCCATTCCAATCGCATTCGTTACATCAGACTGCGCGTATCCAACATGCGGATGACGCTCACGCTAACCCGCACCACCGCCGACTGGCCGCGCCGCACACGGCCCCACATCTCCGGTCCTCATCCCGCAGCACGACCGGAGATATCATCCAATATCGGCATTCACATGAAACCAAGCCAGCGGTCCAAGCATCGAACGGAAACATTTGACACAAGACACACAACCCGCGAGTAAGCATACAGACGACCCGCCTCCTCCTTCCCAGTGAACTGCTGGCCCCCCGGCCTAGCCTGAATCCGGCGCAGCGGCGCTGGCATCTGTCGATGGAAATGTCGTCCCACACTTGCTTTCTCCTGCATAGGGGACGCAGAGGGCAGACAAAACTGCATATCCCACAGAGAAAACATCCCCCCACATTCCTCCCGCAGCTATTTGCCAAAAGCTCGCAACCGTAAGAAAATCACTTTCATAACCGCGCCTGTGCAGCACAAAGCAGACGTCTTACCTCGGGGCCCCTCCCCGTCCGACGACGTCACCACCACAGAGAACGCAAGCAAGCTTCCTCCGAACGCTCTCATCGTCCCCTCTCGCCGTTTCATCGACCACTTGTCATCTCTGGCCCCCAAGACGAAAAAAAGCGCGCACAAACCAGGCACTGTCCCTGTTGACGTGGTGCATCCCGTCCAGTCGGCCAACCGGGGCCGTCAGTAATCGAGCGGATGATGTGCCCAGATGGCTGGGATAGCAGCCGCATCTTACTTTGACCCGTCCGAGTCGTCCTTCATGCTCACCAGCGCGCCCTATGCGTGAGTCGCCGCTGCCCACCCGCCCGCACGTGTGCGCGCAATCGACGACGAGGGCCAGCACACCATCATAGAGTGGGAGATACCGACGCCTTGGCTTGACACATTGCGATCGAACGGCAGCCACTGACAAGAGATCCATGTCCGTGCCGCGCCGTGCTTATCGCGGGGACCTTATCCGAGCGACGTGCACGCCTGCATACCGCATACGTAGTACGTAACTCGCTCTCGCGAGTAAGCGTGTTGAGACGGTAGAGTTCACACTAGTCGCTGTGGTTGGACACTCAAAACTATGTTAATGACTGGAAAATCGGCTTTTCAATGGACTACCTATCTAGTCCTGGTATCATCTAAACTCCGACCAAAGGGATGTATGTACAGAAGTGTGAAAGTGCTGTGCCATACTCCGCGCTGGATCAGGCCTTGCTCATTAATGGTGAAGAAGAAAAGTGTAGAACCGAAAGACATCCGCTCTGGTGTCTGTGATACCCGAAAAGCATGTACGCCGTCTAGCCGTGAACAACGATGAATTTCAAAGTCGGCGGGAAGAATTCAAACGCTCATCCACCTCTTTAAAGCGCAAACATGACGGCAGCGAAGGCCGCGACGACCAGCGAGACAGAGACTCCGCTGGTCGAGGCAGCGCCGGGGAACGGGACCGTGGTGGCCGTGTTGCTGGGCTGCGCGGTGGGAGTCGGCATCACACCGGTTCCGGCGGCGGAGGAGGTGCAGTTGCTGGGGGTGCTGCCGCTGTCCGGCTTGGAGATGAGCTTGAAGTTGGCACAGCTGATGCGGGTCTTGTTGGCGAAGTGGAAGACGAAGCTGCGGTTGCCGAAGAAGGAGCCGGGACCCTCGACGATGGAGAGGTACGGGTCGACGTAGGTCTTTTCGTAGCCGTCAACGCCAACAGCGCCGTGCTTGCCGCTCAAGTCGCCCGTCTGGCACGTCTCGGGCTTGCTAGAGTCGCAGGGCGTGGCCTCGCCGCGGATAAAGGGGTCCTGGTGAGCGAGGGTCTTGGTGCAGTTGCCGTCCGCGGGGACGGGGTCGACGTGGATGTGGTAGGCTGTATATGTTAGACATGATATGATGAGATGGAGAATAAGAACTCACGGAAGGGACCGCCCTCCTTGGGAAGGTTGGAGAAGTTGACCTTGAACTGGACGCCCTTTCCGTCGGGGGCCGACATGGCGACGATCGAGCCCTTCACGTTGCCCTCCAATGAGCCCTTGAAGAACGGCTGCTCAGGGAGCACAGCCTCGTAAACATAGCCAGCGGGGTTGCTGACGACGGTGGCATCACCAAGCTCCTGTGAGCAATGTCAGTATCGATGCGCAAGGAAAGGGCAACGCAGAGCATACGCCTGTGGTTTGAGCGGCAACGTGGCCAACAGCCGCGGCTGCAATGACGGAGACGATAGACTGAGCGCGCATTTTGACCTCGTGATGTCTTTGAGTGGTGATAAACAGACTGATGCGGTTGGAATGCACAATGGGTGTTGATCAAGGGCGGGCTTGTGAGGTGAGCACCGAGAGCAAAGAGCAGAACGGGAGGGGCTGAGTGGTTCTTAAGAAGCAGGGACCGCTGGCACGTCTTGACGAAAACGGAAGTGAGTAGTCGAAAGTGTGGAAGGAGCGGAGGTTGAAGACAGAACTCTAATAGAGGGATCTGCACGAGATGTTGAGCGGCGACTCTTATATGGCCCACACGGCGAGATGTGATGAGGATGGGATTGGCAAAAGGTGTAATATCCCCAGGCTCCCTTGGCACATATGTATGTCAAAGGCAGGGTCAAGAGACACCCTAGCCTGTCCTGCACCACCTCAGGTCTAATCAAAGAAGGGAACGGGAGCCAGAGAAGCAGCCAGAACAACATCGGATGCCATGATCCATCGTGTGTACGACTGGGGCCTAGGGCGAAGTGGACGGCACCTAGCCGTCGGCGCATCCAGGCGAGGAAGCACTGTCTCTCGCAAGGGAACGTATCTTGACCGGTCTCCAGGGGTTGCCCTTGTGTGCATCCTGTGCGACGGGAGAAGAGATGATGGAGGGGAGGGAAGGCAGAAAGGGTCGGCAGGGGAGGGCACGCAAAGGACAGGTTCGAAGGGGGGCGGGGAGTCTGCCGTTGGCGTTGGCGCAGGTGTAAGTGCAAGGTTACTGCGGCACGGCCTCGACGCCCAATGAAGGGAACGGATAGATCGGTTCTGTGTCGACCTGCATGCTGCTGCTGCTGTTGCTGCGGGAAGGCCAAGAGACCAACCTCGGGGGCCATGGGCTGTCCAGATGCAACGGCCAGAGGAAGAAACGCACAGAAGACGCCGAAATCTGCCAGACACGCAACTAAATCTGGCAGACGCAGCGGAAGCACACACACACACACACACACACACACACACACACACACACACACTTGTGTTGGAGATCTTTCACCAAAGGGAACGGGCGAAGTAAATGGGGCAGGGTTATTCGTTGGTCCTCAGTCACTAGACCAGACCCCAGTATTCGCAGAATGTCGGTTGGTGCCTTTGACAAAAACAAATAGACGGCTGGTAGTGTCTGACTTTGTTTCTCGTACCTGGCTTAGCACCGCGCTACGCAGAAACCTGTCCCTGTCCCTGCCAATCGAAATAAGCTAGTGGGCATCATAGAAACATGCCAGCATGGGGGAGGTCTCGGAGGGTTTAGAGTCAGCACGCAGCAGTAGGCACTGCAGACGAGATGCGATGCGCGCCCCCAGAGCCACAGAGCCACAGAGCCCCAGAACATGCAGATAGCCGCCAAAGAGAACAAGGCTGGCGAGTCAATCGCCCAAGAGGGGACACAGGAAAGACGCCAGGATGCCGCGGCATGCAGCGCTGCTGTGTGTCAAAAAAGAAGGTAGACCAAACAAACAGCCCAGACCGGCTGTCGTGGTGACTGCCAACCTCTTCAGATGATGACTGCATGCGGAGTGATTGATTCTCCAGCCTCTCCTCTTCTTTACCAGAGGTTTCCTCGATTCGCAGGTCCCGTTCGTCGACGTCAGCTTCGGAAGAAAAGGCAATGGCAGGAACGTCGGCTTGGTCGCTTAGGCGCCGTGGCCGCATTGGCGTGTGATGGATAGAGGGCGCTGGTTGGTTGGTGGTGATTGTGAGTTGGACGCCCAACGAGGAACCCGTGGAATGGGAGTCGAGATTAGAGTACGAGTGGAGCCGCCGTGGGATCCCGGGGCCTCGCTACCCTCGCTGCCCTACCTTAGGTCACCTTAGGGGCCGCCGTCCGCTTGCGCCCTGAGGTGACCCCCCCTGACTTACTTTACCTTGGGTAGAGTTGACAGCGCCCCTCTGCGTGCGCCTGGTGTGCCGGGTTATCCTAGTGCCCAGCTGGTTCACGGCCGGGCCAACCGCCCCCAGACCCCAGGGCCACGAGCAAAAGCGCCCCCAAGAACACCCACGAGTGTCCTGACGAAAACATGGTGAACAAACTGACGGAAGAGGACCAACGGCCCAACGCATCCGAGCACATCGCCTCGCTCGCTCGGATCCGTCTTGTCATCTTCCTCTCAGCACACCAATTCCCCCTATGGCGCGTTTTGAATGACAACGTCTTTCTGCAAGGTCCCGTATTCATCTGGCTCCTTGCAGCTTACAGGGGCACTCGGGACCCATGAACCCGGCCACCCACGGCAGCAGCGAAGAAACGGTGGTACGGACGATGGGTTGCGGTAAATCTGGTCCATGGTTGACGCTGGGACACAAACGTTCGCCGCTTTTCCGATCTCCTCGCCAGAGAAAGGCTTCTTTTTCTTTTTCACTGTTTCAGGGCGTTCCCTTGTAGTCGGCGTCTGCGCTTGAGTCGTTCAACGGAACTCTCGCCGGTGATATCCGGACTGTCGTCGGGTCTCTTCTTCATGCTGGGTGCCGTTGTTCCCAAGTTTGCTGACATCTCATCTAAGACGGCAAGGAGTACCAGGACACACACGAGATTGAGGTTCGTCGGTAGGCGGCGTGGAACTGCTGTCATGTCATGTCCCGTCCTTGTCGTCATGGACTCTCATGACCTGTTCATCAGTTCGCCTACAGCAAACCCAAAACATTCATCATGGCTGAACCCCATCAACAAACACGCCTTTAATATCCAGCCATTTTTAGCTGACGTTGTGCCAGTGTCACCCACAAAGACGGCACTGCCCTCGTTTTGTTTCTCCGGATTCGCAGGCACGTGTGGCACCTTGCCAATGTTTCCCAATATCGCATGTCGCATCCTAATTGTCGATGGCTCACCCAACCTGTGGCCCCTGCCGCGCCCCGTTGGCTGGTTGGTCGGCAACCAAAGACTGCCATTCCGAACCGATTGGCAGCGTTGCTAGCGCTGACCAGCTGGACACCTTTTCCAGATCGCCTCCAACTGTTCCCTTCGGTTGATAGGGCTCCCACCCCTGACGCCCGGGCTTCTGTCGTCACTTGTAACATGCAGTTACACTTTCGCCCCCAACATGGCTTTCTTCATAGGCAGCTGCGGTCAGAAAAAGTGAATGGTGCCAACCAACGGAGGATCGGCAGAGTGGTTGCAGATGGGCAACTCCTGGCAATGTTTCAGTTTCAGAGCATCCTCACCTGCTGGCAAACACTCTGGCAAACATACACAGGTTCCAACCAACTCCTGTTGGACCTCTCGGTTGCGCGAATAGGAGAGGTCAAATCTCGACTAGATGTGTTCTCGAAATGTCCAATCTCCTCGGGGCGAATCCTTCATCCCAAGTCTGAACGTGAGCATGGCTTCTTTCATCATGCGCGAGTGATGGCCGTCATCTGGTGAGTGCTCGGGGATAGTATGCCATCACCGCCGTCAGAACGTCGTCCTACCGTCGCAACGAACGAGTTGTGCGGCTCGTTCTGGGGTCGCAATGGTCACTTTCCCGTTTGGGCAGCTCGTGTGCAGAGTTCGAGATGCAAGCTCTGTGGGCAGAGGACTTTGCAGAGTGCCAGTCGTTTCAAGAGAAAAACGTATGACCAAGTCTGTTTTTGTGCACCGTTAGACATGTCAGCGACCCTTTTGGGTCAGATCGCAGTTTCGATATGCCCGAGCGACGAACACTTGGACGACGCTGTCGTCTGGCAGGCTTATCCCAGAAGAGCAACGCGCTCGCCCTACGAAGCGCTGCTGTCAATGCTGTCGAGCCTGCCAGCACAGGACGGTCGCGCCTTGGCATTCGATCTTCTTTCCTTTCCACGAACCGTCTTTCGAACATGTCATTCGTGCAGTTGGGGCCGCTGACAAGACGCGCCAGCACCCAGATCGGCACCGTTCGCTGGCGTCAGGTGAGGGACGGCCGTTCCAGCTCGGATAGCTCTGCGGGCCCGAGTTTGGTGCGCGGGACATGTCGTGTAGTTGTCCACCGTAGACTTCTGATCCGTGGACATGAGCCTCCAAAGACTGGCAGCGATCCGCTACTCCGGCTCGTATTGACTTCGGCTCCGTGAAGAGGAGCGTTTCAGGCCTTGGTGCCGACGTAGTCGAAACCATTGGTCAATGGGAGATGCGTGAGCCGGAGGGTCTCTTCTGTGATGCAGCCATCAGACGTGTCCGGGCTTCGCCTGAGATGGCGCCATTGTTAGAGAGCCTCGCAACCTTCGGCCGACCCGCGGACCCGGGCAGCACGGCGGGCTCGCAGACAGAGCCGACGCGGTCGAAGGCCTGGGAAGCTCCGCAGCAACTGAGACCACTTGCCGGAAGTATTTGATGAGCAGAATCGCGCCAGAATAGAGAGATCAGCGGTGACAAGACTTTTGTGAACCCGCTGGTTTGATCGAATCCCGCGATGAAGATCTATTCGGCGCCGAGCCCTGCAACATGCAAAGCAGTATGGATTTCGGATTGAAATGCAGGGCAGAGGTCCGGGCGGGTTCACGATGATTGATACGGGAAGAGTGGATCCATCTAAGGAAACCAGCCCCGTCCCGATGTGTGGCTGGAGCTCGATGTGTGGCTGATGCTGGTCCGCGACGCCTGGGAAATCAGGCAAGATCATTGGACGTCACCGCGGCCAAGGTGGAGCCTCGCGAGCCAGGAGCAACAGCACCGACGACCGCATCGGCTTCATCATCGACAACGTAACGCATCACGCCCGGCATATCAAGGTTATCGACAAATCCGCACCGTGCCCATCGAGCCCGAACCGAGGAGGACATTTCTCAGTAACACACTGCAATCATGAAGCCCGTCGTTGGTGCTGGCGCCGCATGGCAATGGTACGTGTGTCCCTTCGGACAGCCAGATAGGATCACGACGGCTAACTGTTTGACCACTGCAGCACCGTCATTTCCGTCTTCGGTATCGTCATCCTCGGTATCCTGAGCATTCTGTTCGCCAAGAACCACCCCGAACTCGTCGGAGGGAGGGATGACCCTGAGAACGGCGGCGCTGTCGCTGGCACCCTCTTCGTTGCTGTCCTTGTCTACATTGTACGTCGCGTCCCGGCATCCACTGCATTAAACAAGATGCTTTTTCGGTCATTTACTGACTCTGGGACTTCACGCAGGGCTTCTTCATCTTCTGCGGCATCCAGGGCATGCTCCACATCCGGGAGAATCGACGAGGAGCGATCGCGTTGTAGTGATATCATACAGGAAGGAGATCAGCGTACGGCATCAAAAGACATTACGGTTTTCAGGCGTTCGGCATCATGTTGGAATTATCTTTGCGCCGCGGGCCTGAGGCTCGCGTTCGATCGAGGGGGGGAGCATCTTTGGTGAGGTCCGGTTAAGCGGACCGCTCGGCGGATATGGAGGGCATCGCTTCGTCGAGAGGAGGGACAGGCCCCGATGTACGAAAGGATTGGTAGAGGCTCTGTTTGAGTCATGCACATAATAAGCAAGCACGAATTGTCCACAACTGCTGCGGATAGTGAGTCCTGACGCGACTGTGATACTGAGGGCTGATATAGACAGTGCTTTCACGGTACAGGACAGTAACAGGCAGGTCAAAGGCAATTCGATGCTTCAGCAGCACCGAGATAAGCGGTGAGGGACGTTCCTGCTCTTCTGGCCCGGACCTTGTGCTGACTGGGTCGTTATCACCGTACAAAGTCTTGGCATCCTGTCGTCTTGCGATATGATCGAACAACAGTCTGCCGGACCATCCCATGCGACCATAACCACTGGAGAACTCGGGATCCCGTCAGGACTCCGTCTTCGTTCGGTCAACAACAAGAACTTGGCCAGCAGCAGGGCATGGGCCATGAGCAAGGCCTCGGGCAATATGGTCTCAGTCAACAATAAGGTCTGGGACGACAATAAGATCTGGGTCAACAGTAAGGCCTGGGCAGCATAAAGGGGTCGGTCAGCAGCAGAGGCTTGGTCAGTAGCACCAACACCAACATTAGCAACACCAATAGCAACATTATCAACAGCACCAGCAGCACCAGCAGCAGAGCCTTGGTCAGCAGAGCTTGAGCCACCAAGGGTTTAGGCAACAGTCCATTGCATAAAATCACAATGCTAGCAATCGGACAAAGTGCAAAATGTGTTCATGCTTTGGTATTCCTACTTAAGCGTCCTCGACGACAAATCTCATATTCAAGTTGGCCACCTCGCCCTCTGGGTCTTCTTCGAAAGCGAAGCCATTTCCAAGGCCCCAGATGGCGACTTCTTTAATCTTCTTCAAGCCAAGGTCCTTCTTGTGCTGGATAAGCATCCAAGACGTCGCACTGCCCCATACAGTTCCAAGGATGGCTTGGCCCTCTGGAGTATCCATGCCAAACACTGCTTTGTCGGCGTAGCTGGGTACCTTGTTGTACTTGGTTGCCTTCAGAGCCTCTACAACGATGTCGTACGTTTTCTGGTTGGTGCAGTGGGATACGAAGATGAGTTTGAGGGTGTTTGGTTGAATGTTCTTCGCCTTGCAGGCGTCGATCCACTGGAAGAAGGCGACATCCGACATTGTGTCCAAGTCGGGGACGTCACCCAGTCCCCAATCGCTCTTCCTAAAACTGGGGCTGTAGTCTTCATCGAAAATGAAGGCACCAGAGGCCGGAACAAGCACATTGGAATAGGAAGCCATCGTGGGCTGAGCAAACAGGGTCAACAGCGGATTCTCAGATAAGCATGTAAGCGTCCCTCACCTTCTTGCCTTGACCGAACTCTCTGTCGTGTCTGTAGTAGTACTCGCCCGCTTCCGTCTCATCTACCGGATGATCCTTGTCTGCAAATGCATTGTCGAGGTTGTTATCGTAGCCGGGCGTCTTGTCGATCGAAAGGCCCATATTAGCGAAAGCTGGGTCCTTCACCTCGCCGAACGGTGCCTCGACATCGCCGGTGTCCTGTTCAAAGGGATACCAAAAGATGTATCTAGTCCAGCCGTTCGGTTTCAGCACGCTCGGGTCCTGATACGGACTCGCCACAGAAGCCCCGCCATTGTACTCGGCCGCCTTCGCATCGTCGAGGGGGAACAGATCATTGAAGTACTGTCCCTTCTGCACACGGCCATCGTAGTCCTGAGCAAACGTGGGGAACTGAGTTCTTGCTCGCTTGGTGACGACGACCGTGTCGCGGGGTGTGGGCGAAGCGTTGATTAGGAGTATATGAAGCAGAAACCACAAGAACAATGAGCGGACGCTCCCCGAACCAAAAGAGTGAATAGCGTTAGCCATGATGTCATGGGAGACGCTGCTAACAACTGGTGAAATGAACGATGGAGCTAGAAAGAGCGTGTGTGGTTGTCACGAAAACAGACATGCGCCATCGCGACACCGGCAGACCTAGTCTTAAGTAAAAAACGTCAAAAGCGAACCCGAAAGAGAATTGAGTTAATCTGTTTAATCAGTAGAGACGTCATTCTAGTTCATGGACAATGGTCCTCCTATTGCAGGGGTTTATTTCATAGAGAGTCAAGAGCGCATGAGTAGGAATATAAATGTGCAACTCTAAATTGATTATCTGGGGTTGGCGACTCATGTCTGCTTATTTTTGGACTACCGACAACGCTGCGGTGACGCCGAGCTTGGCAATCCTTTCAGAGCCCTTACGTTAACGCGGCTAGTCAGCTGGTCAACTGGTCGATCATATTAATTGTCGAGTGCAAATGTGTATCAGACTTTTATTTTCGAAAGGGGGTCGACAACCTCCGTCAGGGCGGCAGAGGTGGCTTGACATGAGCGGGATGCTTAATGCGAAACACCACCCGACTGGTCAGGGCTGCGATCGGACGAACCGATTCTGTCTTGCTAGTTCCTGGCGGTCCGCACACGGGGGCGCCGCCGATGCTTCCCTGCTCAGGAACCCCATAATCTGGTCGATTCTGCTATGTGTCTCTGAGTTGAGGGATCAGTTGCCTTATTGTCTCCAGAACATCCGCTTCCAGCACGATGTCGGCTCAAGTCTCCTTCACTTTTCCATGCTCAATTCAGCATGCCAAGAAACTCCATTTGTGTGGTAACTGTTGTATTCCGTCCCGACCTCTCGCATTAGCTGCTGGATTCTCTGGGGAAATTGGACTGACGAGGAGTCGACAACATTGCCTCTTCGTTCTGTTCATCATACCACAATGCCTTAGATGTCACTCTGGCTGTTGAGTGAATTGGCCATCTACAGGTAGGCTGAAGGAGGCTGCCTAAGCAGGCCACAGGTGATCTCTTTGGGTATAATCGCGACCCTAATTTCGAGAAAACCTGTTACCCGGTGTTCGTGGTTCATGATGACACCGAAAACCCAAACAGTTGGCTTTTGTTACAATCTCTGTGAGCTGGAAGCAGTTGGTTCATGGCAAGTTATGGTCTGATCGCTACCGTTAAGAAAACTAGAAGAGATAGAAGTAGTGTAAGTCTGATGTAAAGGAAGACATTCGCGATTACACCTGACCGCTGTAGACGGCGTTAGACTAGTTGTATCTCGAGCTGCTGAAATCCTAGACTTCCGTGAACCTCCGGCCCCTGTGAATCATCCTCACGCTCTTTTGGTCTGAGCAACTGAAGACACAGGTAGTCGATGGAAACGGCCGCCTTGCGTTTGAATACTCCAGGGGCAACCTCTTCAAGCACCAAGCCATACATCATCATTTCCTTACCGTCAGATACGTGGAGTTCCATGAGCTACGGATCAATGCGTGGCTCCTCTTCAGGCCAATCGTCCTCCGTGCTGGGGTAGTAATTCAATGATGTTCGGATGTTGTTTATGACAAGAAACGGCGACTCTCTTCGCCTTGTGAAATGATGCTGCAGTGGCTTGATCCATGTGCGGACTCGGAGCACAGCGGATTCAATTGCCACTCTTTAATCCAGGGATTTTCCACTTGAACTAGTAGTAAGACAATTCTGGAGCTTTGACGACTAAGTAAGCGTACCGTTACTTCTAAAATACCTTATCTTAACCTGCGTGTTCCGTTCAGTGAGGAGGGGGTTGTGCTGTGTGGCTCATGGCTACGTGGCTAAGCGTCGGCATTAATACCGTAGGCTTACGAAGGTGGGACAGTGCTACAGTGTAATCATACCTTAGAATGGGGGCCACGCCGAAGGACCCCCCACTGACAATGGATGATTTACATGCTGCCAACTACACACGTACCTCTGCACACACTTCCATACAACCTGATACACGCATACGGCGACACGCGCGGCAGACTCAGGTTTTGCAACTTGGCAGAGACACGATTGTTAGCTGACACTTGAGGATTTCATCCATGAAGCTATTGCAACGGGGCTGCGTGTCCTCACAGCAAAGACACTGCGATGACGAAAGTCAAGCGCGGTCAACGCAAAAGAGCCTGGGCCCCTAAATCCCGAAATGGGTGTGCTGTGTGCAAGTTCGTTCATCACTCTGACCCTTCCGTCACACTGAGTTCTCACAAGCTTACAGAAGTCAGTCAACGAGCATCTCCCGTGATTTCAGGGTACTGAGTATCTAACCTCTGTCTCCAAAAAGAACGAAGGATCAAATGCGACGAGAAGCTGCCTTGTGCAAATTGTAAGCGGGCCAAAGCCGTCTCCCAACTACAAAGTGTGCCAGCCTAAGTATTTCAGGTCTCAATGCTGGATTCGACTGCCACCGTTCCTCTCACAGCGACACGCAGGACGCTGTGGTCCCAAAGCACAACGAAGTGCCAATTCGGCGAAATCCCAGCCCGCTCAACCCCTTAGCTCTCAACGAACGAGAAGGTAGAGCGTATCGATTCTTCCAGATCATCGGCGCTCCGGCACTTTCGAGCGGCTTCGAGTGCGAGTTTTGGGGGCGGCTCGTTCTGCAACTTGCCAACGCCGACGACGCCATCTTTCACGCGACTGTTGCTCTGGGGCTTCTGCTCGAGGACATGCACAACTGGCCGATCTCATGGCCGGTGCCTCGCCAAGCCCCGCCAACCGAACGGACGGCGAACGCGCTACGGCACTACCAGACAGCACTGCAGCAGCTGTTCGTCCCTGTTGTCGGAAAGGAGTCGGCAAATGCCATCTCACTTGCGTCTGCTGTGGTCTTCGCATGTATTGAGGTAAGCAGTTTATTACAATGGTTTGCTCAGTATGTGCAATTGACTTGTGCTGATCTCCTTGTAGACACTTTGCGGCAACGCTCGTAATGCTATGAAATTGATCTCCTCTGGGATCAGCATCTTGACGCAGCTTGAAGCCTCCATCTCATCCCTTGCAAATCTTGAGAGTTTTGCACCATTTGTATCTGTGTTTGTACGGCTAGACTCTTACATGAGAGAGGTTTGCAATCCAAGAATCCCGTCTCGGCAGTAACGTCTCTGACAACTATGCAGCTTCTTCAAACCGAGCATCACGTACGACCCAAGCCGCCTGTTTTCAGACATATAAGACCATGCCCGCCGGTATTCGGCAGTCTCAGAGAAGCAAACAGACAACTCGAAATTTTGGAAAACCTCTGCCTATTCATGGTAGAGCAACAAGAGAAGCCACGGGAGGTCCAAAGTATGCCGACTCGGACTTCCTGCCAGAGCATGTATCAGGATTGGCTAGAAGCCTTCAATGCCAGCTCCATCTCCACAAATGACGAGAATTCGCATGCACTCCTTCATATCCGGCGATTGGACCTCTATTTGACCCTCCATGGCCCGGAAGATACCTGCCCTCAGTCTGGCTGGGATTACTTCCTCCTAGAGTTCATCGAGATGCTCACGTATGCCGCCCCAGCGTCCCGTTGGCAACACATGTCTTTCGTCCTAGGTGGCGGCTTCATCATGCCCCTATGCAGACTTGCTCTGCGATGTCGGCATCCAAGCACAAGGAGAGCCGCAATACACATCCTACGCGGTGCCCGACGTCGAGATGGCCAACTGGAAGGGATGCTAGCCGCGCGGGTCCTAGAGCGCATCGTAGATGTCGAGGAAGATGGGTTAGGTGAGATTACCGAGTCCAGTGACGTTCCCGAGGTAGCTCGGGTTGCCGGCGTGTTGGTCAAGTTTTTGAGCGGAAAGGGGAGGGCGAAACTGACGTATTCTCGTGCTGCTGGCCCGAACGGCGTGCGGGCATTGGTTGAAGAGGAGCTTTCGGGAGGGTCACATTTCAAGGGGGATTAACACTTGCCATTTTCCTTGGAGGAAAATACATTCGATCTCTTGAACGACTTCTTGCAGAACTTGAGAAGCCAATGGCCAACCGACCAACGGACCGAGTCCAAATACGTGCTTTGCAAGGGTAGTCCCTGACTAGCAACGGGCTAAATGTCGACAGGGACCGTACGACACAACCAATCACACATATGGAAGGCATCTCGAGGTGGACTCAACTGACGACGTTCCTTGTCTTAGTTTGAACGACCGGAGGTCGTCCGTCCCACCGGCTTCGGCTTCGAACGTCTTCAGGAATCAAACTGGGCCTGGGCAACATCTAGAATTCCTACAACATCATAGCTTCTTCATCGAAAGCACCCCGCTGACTTGCGGATACACCGAGGCTCCCAGGATCACACGGTGGACAGAAATTCGAGGCAATGGACGCGACTAATCTGAATTGACGATGCGACGGAGGCTTGGATCTTGCCGCGGACGTCCCATTAGGCCTCTCGTACGGTCACCGTGGCAAAGTTTTGGATGTGGATGGGTTCCGTACAGGATCTCATTAAGCCTTTCAGAAGACAATTTATAAAACGAGGCCATATCCAACCTCACGCTCCTTCTTCAACACACCGTTACCACAGCTTCCACTCTTTCGTTCTTGGGATCATCCGCGCATTGTCTTGCCCACCATGAGGCTTTCAAACGATCATTCTTCATTTTCCTCATGGCTCGCAGCCATCTTACTCCTAGTCACACTGTCTCCAGCATCCTCCCTCTCTCAAAACACCACCACCGGCGCCGAAATTGTCCAAGGAGCCCTCCGAATCTACGGCAACGACTCCTACCCCATCACCCAGCGACGACCTCTCCCTCTGGATGCAGCCCGCTCGCGCTACCCTGGCTTCAAGCAGGGCAATCTGACCCTCAAAGCCGGCACCATCCGTCGCGATGGCGCACTCACTCTGCCCTGCGACATCCTCTTCGAGCGCGACGTCCCCGTCACCCTCCGCGATGGTATCACGGTGTACACCGACATCTTCCGTCCTGCAACCACGAATGCTACCGTGCCCAGCATCATCGCGTGGAGCCCCTATGGCAAAGAAATTGGCGGCCAGTGGCTCGACGATGTCCAGGGTCGATCCGGCGTGAACTTGTCGTCCGTCTCCGAGTTGCAGAAGTTCGAGGGCCCCGACCCAGCTTACTGGGTCTGCAAGGGCTACGCGATTCTCAATCCAGACAACCGCGGCGCCTACTCTTCCGAGGGCAACATCACATATTGGGGTCGCCAGCTAGGCGAGGATGGGTATGACTTCGTCGAGTGGGCTGCAGAGCAGGCGTGGAGCTCGGGCAAGGTCGCATTCTCGGGCAACTCGTGGCTAGCGGTGTCGCAATGGTTCATCGCTGCCGAAAACCCGCCTCACTTGACGGCGATTGCTCCATGGGAGGGGCTCACGGACTTGTACCGCGACATTGCCGTCAGAGGCGGAATTCCGGCACCCGGTTTCCAGGAGTCAATTCTCACCACTTTTGCTGGCAAAGAGTTTGTCGAAGATATCCCTCGCATGCTTCTTTCTGAAGAGCTCATCACCCCCTACTAGCAAGACAAGATTGCAATGCTTGAGAAGATCAAGATCCCAGCGTACATCGTGGCCAGCTATACCAATCTTCTTCACGCCCATGGTTCATTCGAAGGATTCCGACGCATTTCGTCAGAGGAGAAGTGGCTCAGAGTGCATAATACGCAAGAATGGACGGACTATTATGCCTCGGAACATGTAGCCGACCTTCAAAAGTTCTTTGACCACTACCTCAAAGGCGAAGATAATGGATGGCAGTCTACTCCGCGCATCCGCCTCGCTGTTCTGGATCCCGGTGCTGAGGACACTCTCGATCGCGTCGTCGCAGACTGGCCAGTTCCGGGTCTCGAGTCGAAGACTCTCTACCTGCAACCGAACAACTCACTTTCCGAGTCCCCTCTATCCAACGAGACTATCCTCAGCTACAATAGCAGCTCTGCATCCGGCATTACCCTCAACTTCCAGGTAACTGAGATGATGGAGTTGATCGGCTATTCAAAGCTCCGTCTCTGGCTGTCCTCCCCTGACGCCACCGACATGGAAATTTCCGTCTCCGTACAGAAGCTCTCCTCCAGCGGCACTGCGTTTCCCAGCACCGGCAGCGAGATTTCCAGCACGATCGGCCCAACCGGACTCCTCCGCGTATCACAGCGTGAGCTAGACACCGACCTCTCCACGGACCTCGAGCCCTTCTTGGTACACACTTCGGAGAAGCTTCTGTCACCAGGCGAGATAGTGCCCGTGGATATCCCTCTTTGGCCCTCCGCTCTCAGATTCCACGCGGGGGAGCTGCTCAGCTTAAACATCGCCCCAGCCTCAATCACTCCCGCACAGGCTGATATCGGCTTTGGCACGGCAATCGTGCCTGTGCCTGCGACGGGAGGCACGTTCGAGGCCGGCCAGAACGTTTCATTGATCGAGTTGGGAGGTGACATGGATTCCAACCCGGCCTTTGTCAATGAGCAGAGGGTCGAGACGCCAGTGAGTCGTAACAAGGGCATGCACTTCATCCACGTGGGTGGAAAGTATGACAGCCTATTGTTGTTTCCCGTCAACAACACTACTAGAGCAACGGAAATTTGCAAGTAGAGGGGGGCTGATAGACGCCTTTGGCTTGTGTATCAAGTCGCCTCAATTCGGCCTTGAGGGAAGAGATAGGCCTGAACCAAGTCAATGTATGCATCCCCGATAGTTCTATCTGTACCATACCGATGTAAATAAGCTGGCGACCAACGGAACAAAGAAAACGGTCTTTCGGAGACGTATTCAATATCTAAGACGGTGACAATTCGAGAATGTGATAATTTTTCCAATGGATTACCAATATAACAACCAAAAGCATCGTAAAATCTGGGATAGATGCAGTATTTGATATATACTCGGTATTAGATTCAAGACATAAGTAAACCATGACCAGTGATGGGTGTTGAGGAACACAAGGAACGACGTCAACAGACGCCCTCATTGAGAGACATAAAGTTCGACAAAAGTCAACTAATTAGGCCCATCGCAAACCAAAATTGACCGTCACATACTCCTTGAAAGCAACATCCCAGTTGGAGTCCTCTCCACTGGTCTCAAACTTAACCGTCTTATCTTCCATGATGAGAGCGAACGCCTTGCCGCCATGGATATCCATAGCAAGCTCCTGTGTTTTTGTCAGCACCAATGTAGACATTCCAAAGAAATCGGACGACATACTTTGATTTTCACGTTGGTCTTCTGCAGAAGTGTCTCTCCCAGAGTACCATAATGGCCTCGGAGATTCATAACCATTGTTGTGTCTTGCATCTCCATGACGTATGAACCCTCGAACCCCCACCATATTCTACTGGCAAAACCTGCCTGGAAATCAATTTCCGCATTACGGTGACACTTGAAGGAAGACTTCTTCCTCGTAGCAATGAAGTAGGATCCCTCTGGACCAAGCGAAAGAGACTTTGGGCACTCAGTTCCCCTCTTGGAGTTGAGAAATTCATAAAGCCCTGGGTAGCCTTGTTGGACTCGACCATGATCTAGATAATGGTCAGAAAGGGCTTCAGGGGTTTGTGCGTCCACTAACAGTTGCATCTGGCGAGAATATATCCAGTGTGATAATGGGTGAAGTAGGAGTCGGTCCCGTCACCTAAGACCAGCTTCTTGATTCTGAACCCGTCGCCTTTAGAGATCGATGTGATATCTTTGGAAATCTCCTCTGCTGCTGACCTAGATGAAATTGAGCGCCTGTAAATTCTTGGTCTGAAGATGACTTACCACTTCGATAGGTATGGACCTATGAAAGCCCAGTCTTGGCCACGTATAGAGAGACTGGTGGTTCTATCCCATGCTGGAATCTGGGCAGCTTCAACCTCGCATTGCCCGTGGGTCTTGGACTTCTTCATGCGAGTTGAGAGGGATGTAATTTTCCCATTCAACTCCTCTTTCTCCTGAACCCACTGAGCCTCCTTCTTGTTGTTCTTCGCTTCCATTTTCTTCCAGTCGGCCTCGAGCTTTTCATACTTTTCTCTATGCAACTTCTCCATAGTAGTTTTGATTTCTTCCTGCTGACGCCGGAGACGCTCCAAGTTCCTTTCAGCCAGGGCTTGTTGTCTCATGAGCTCCTCCTGAGACTCCTTATCACGAGCAGCAATGGCCTCCTGCATCTCCTGGCGAGCTTGATCAAGGTCTCGTTTGAACCTCTCTCTTTCTTTGGCAAGAACGCCCTCTAGTCCCTTGCCTGCTTCCGTTTCATCGAGGTTTTTGTTTTTGTTGACCATTTCGTCCTGAATAGCGAGCAAAACTGGCGTGGTTGGGCGAGAATGTGACATGAACCTGGAGATGATGTGATGAGCTGACTGTGGATTGTTCATGTGCTTCTCAATTCTGGATCCCTTAGACAGCATATAGCCCCAGAAATCTTCAGTGGTCTCAAGTTCAGTCTGTCGTTCAAGACCCGTCTTCTCATCCACAAGCTCCCACATTGTCGTGACCAAGACGACATGCTTTAGTGCTTCGGGGCCACAGAGCTTCTTGAACATGAAGAGGTTCTTTCTCGCCGACCCGCCCATGCGAGGGTCCGTGATGCGATGAAGGTACAGTATTCCTGTAAGCTTGACTTCGTTGTTGTAGGAACCGGTAAGCCACGTGGCGATCTCTTTTAGAACATCCGAATCAGAAAGATTGGTATCATCAAAGCCAGGGGTATCCACCAGATACACATTGGTAGAGTTGCTGTATTGATACCGGTAGACCGTGACCTCCCTGGTGCCTATCTACAATCAGTTTAAAAACATGTAGATAGCGATTGACTCACAGGATTGGAGTTTGCTCCCAATCGGAACCGAAGCCTTCGTGAGGTGTGAGACAAACGTGCTCTTCCCGGAACCTGTCAGGCCCATGACAGCGATGAAGATATCACTGTCGCGTGCTTTCTGACCCCCTCGGAACAGAGAGGTGTCGACATGAATGGGTGGAAGGGCAGGCCTGATAAAATCCATCTTGACCGGCTTCTTTTTCTGACTGACGGTGGAAACTCTGAGGAAGAAAATGAAGATGAAGACCACAAGCACATATATAAACATGCGTTAATGCGAATGATTCGGATATTGTAAATGGATAAGCTTTCGCAGACCTCGGGTGGCTGAGAGCAAATCTACCCATATGCTCAGGGTGACCAAGGTGCTTATGAGGACGAAGCCATCGCATCTAGACCTCGCCGGTGGGCGCTCAAAGTCAGGATTCGAGGCAGGCGCGAACTTGCGGCTGAACGAACTGAGACGTCCGTCTACCGCACATCAAATGAAAACTGCTAGCAGTAGGCTGAAAACGCCATTAGTCGACGGTTTCGAAGTCTGGACGGCTCCGAGCTCTGAATCGTTTCCTCAATATAATACTGGTGACCAGTGCCGAGATCGGTCGGTAATGTGAGGCGATGTGATAGGCTGAGACTTGCGTGAACGCTGTTACGCCCGAGGACCTTAATCAAACATTTGTCTAACCATGTTCAGCATGCGCTTTGGGTGCAATGCTTATTATTGACAGTTTCATGCCACTTCTGTGGCAAGTTTCTGGATCCCAAGAACCTGTTAGGGCTTACCGGACACCAGATGAGGTTTCTCGATCCGGAACAAGCCCGCCGTTTGCGTTAGTGAGATAGATCCCCCGTTGCAAGCCAAAGAGCCATGGACCGCCACGCTGATACAAGGTTGCTATCCCATAATACCAAAGAAACGAAATCAACCAATGGGATGTGTGGCATTTAACGTAGCTGAAAAGCCTTGTTTCAAGTGAACTTTCAGCCGCAACTCCAGGCAGATCAGCTTTGACCGTGACATGTTAGTCAAGTGAACAGTCGCGCATCAGGCTCAAGCCCACGGCTTCGTAGCGAGCAGGTATGGCGGCTTTGGAAACTGTTTTCAGTTGATTGACTGTAAGGCTCTGAAGTCAACCATGTTCTATAATTCCCGGAAGGACCATTTCTCCTGACAATGGCCTTACTTCGATATATATTCGGTCGTCCAGCTACGTTTCTCGTTTCTGTCACCTTTTCTTCTTCATTGCTTTCCCCTGCTTCTCCATTGCCAGTATAATATAAACAGACCAGACACCTGGGAACATGGGTTCGGAGTTGGTGCATTTGATCGCCTTTCTATGGAGATTACACTAATTCAAGGCACAGGTCCTCGGATATCGTCATTGCGGTGATGGGAGTTACCGGAAGTGGCAAGAGCACATTCATCTCGCAGCTTGTAGAGCAACAAGTTCCAATCGGTCATGGTCTGAGATCTCGTGAGTAGAAATTAACGGAAACTTGGCGTGAATCTGCATGTTTGTATGCTAACCCCACTTGAAAGTAACGGCTGCTACTGGAGTTTACGATTATCATCATCCGGTTTATGGCAAAATACATCTCATCGACACGCCGGGGTTCGACGACACAGTTACCTCCGACACCGATGTCCTCAAAAACATTGCCGCCTTCATGAGCGGGAGCTACAAAAAAGGCACGCGACTTACGGGGGTAATCTACATGCACAGGATAACCGACAACCGCGTCAGCGGCTCTTCGGGAAGGAGCATCAACATGTTCAAGAAGCTCTGCGGCGACGACGCGTACAAGCATGTCGTACTTACGACGAGCATGTGGGGTGACGAAGAGAACGATGCGGCTAAAGTCCGCCGGGAGACCGAGCTCAAGGCAGACGAAGGGTTCTGGGGTCTGATGAGATCTGGTGGAAGTAAGGTGATGCGGTGGAAGAATGACAGATCGTCCGCTTCCGCTGTCGTGGAACACCTTCTTGAATGCCGACAGATCTACGGTCTGCCTACGCTGCAGATACAACGGGAGTTGGTGGAGGAGAATAGGGATCTGGAAGACACGTCCGCGGGTCAAGAGGTTGGGAGGGAGTTGCTGAAAGCGAGGAAGAAAATGTTGCAGGTGGTTCAAGACCTGAAGAAAGAGCACCGGGATGCTTTACGGACGAGGGACTACGAGCTAGCTGAGAAGCTCCAAAATCAGAAACAAGAGATGGAAAGCAAATTGCGGAAGGCTGAGGAAGCCCAGAAAGCGCTTAGAGTCGACTTGGAACAGCTGTTGCGAGAGAAGACCGAGGAGTTTGAGAAGAAGCAGAAGGAACTCCGAGATCAAGTGGCTGAGGCCGATGAGCTTGCAGCCAAACGCGATAAGGAGCTTAAGAAACTGAACGAAAACCTGGCACAATCCGAGGTCTCTTACCAGGAGCTGAGGAAAGAGTTTGCCGCGGACCGTAAGAAGATGAGCGAGAGGGACGTCAAAAGAGCCAAAGAACTTGCCGAGTATGAGAAGAGCCTGAAGGATCAGTATGAGCAGGATAAGCAGGACAGTCTGCGTCGGCAACAGGAGCTGGCGCAAGAGATCGAAAAGGCAAAGAGTCGGAAGAACTTGCTGATGGCCCTGGTACCATCTGTGCTCGGCGCTGGAGTCATAGGCTTGGGTATAGTCACCGCAAACCCGGCTCTGGTGATTTCGGGTGGAGGACTGATTTCAGGTGCAGCTGCCGGAGGTGCTGTGGGCATGTCTTGAAATTGAGTAGGAGCGCAAATGGCTCTGTGGGGTTTGCAAAGACTTTGGCATTGACTTACTGTCCACTTTGTTGTTCTCAAGTTCATGGAGGGCAACTTACTTAGTTAATAAAGTGATCGCAATCGTCGAGCAAGAAACGGCCCATCTTGGACAGAAGTATCCAAAACTCAATCAGTCCAGTACCATTCACGTGGTCTTTCTGGTTCCTTTGGCCGGGATAGACGAACTAGCATGGGGAATCGCAAGTGGTATGCTCCATGGAAACGAGGAAAAGTGCAAGCAGCAACATTCAGTACTGCTACAGATAGAGAGTCTATAAGGACTACCATCAAAAGGAAGCTCTTAATATCCGTTGATATAATTGAAAAATGCTTATAGCTTCATAGCCGCGCCATCAAGCTCGCCGTTTAATCTGATAACTCCCTGCCAAACATTAGTTGGTTTTCCAGATATCTTTTTGGGGCACACACCTCTTGAACATAGGTCGTTAGTAAGGTACCATCTTTCGCGAACATCCTTGCGGAAGCTAAACATCTCTCGTCTCCCGACCAAGGGCTATGGCCAACAAGTAAAATCCATTCATCAGCTTTGATGCGGGTGGGCGCATGGAAGTAGATGGTATGGCCAAGAGAGGAGAGCATCCCGACAGAACTCCCTTCCAACGACGACGTTTCGACACCCTTCGAGAAACCTCCAGGAAAGTCGAATAACCCAAGCACGTAGGGCGTGATCGAAATAGAGACCCAATCTGATAGATAGGCCAAGATTGCCTGCTGGACCTCGACGTCATCTGCCTGGGCAATTTCCCTCGGCGTCCGGATCCACGTCTGAAGCTTGGAGTTATCCGGCTGACCATTGCTCTTTTCTATCGAGATGGGAAACAGCTGCGGTGCTACGGCCGTAGCAGTGCTGGTTATGGACTCATCAGGCGGCGATCCCCTCGATGGTGGCAGGGTGGGAACATGTTGAACACGCTGCTTCTCGGAAGGGACCGCCCGCATGAACGATAAGGTGCTAGTGAATATACACTTCCCTTCTTGGGTGCCTTGGACCGTTCGGGTGATGAAGGAGCCTCCATCTCGGGTCCTCTGAACGGTGAAGGTAGCTGGAATCGTCTCATTCCCTACAATCAAGAACTGACAATGCATCGAATGGCATAGAAACCCATCGCGTACGGTCTTCTGAGCCGCGACTAGGCTTTGCGCGACGATGGACCTAAGTGATGCGTTAGCAATTGGCAGGTGATTGGGGGTGGTAGTAAACGTTGTCGTCGCCGGTCTTACCCACCGTATATCCCCCTTCCCCCTGGCGGACGCCAGTGATCTGCAGTGGTAGTGAAGACGTCCTGAGATAGTTGATGTTAAGCGGCGTCCGAAGGGCGGTCAATGCAAACGATGAATTAGACAAGCACTCACCGGTTCAGTCTCCGCCAGCTTCAGCATTTCCTCCAACGGAGACAGCTGAGACATAGCCATCGAATCTTTCGGCCGCGTCATTTTCACCGCTGATGTTCTAAGTCTATGGTTTGTAGTCTTGGGTGACAATGATGTGTTTGGGGATGTGAGATACGGACGTTGGTCGACACCGAGGCTCGGGGTTGCAGCGGCCCCACATCTCCGGCTACTTAGGAAGGTCATCCTCGGCTAAAGTGGGCCGCCATCGGCATATTGATGACGAGGGTGATTCACTCACGATATACACAAGAACATAGTAGAGAATGGAGATTGTTCGTCCTTGTAACTCTGCCTGCAGTGGAACCACTTCTGTTATGTCAGGTGCAAGAGGCTTGACCCCCAAGGCGAAGGAATCAACGTAACTTGTACTCGTCCTGAACAACCGGTCTTTCGCGTTTGAAGTATATGTTCCAGTCATCAGCAATTACAAGTAGATATCCAAATGGTGATTTGGATAAACGCAGAACATTCTAGGCAACGTCTCAGTCATTTTTGAATGCTTTACGTCTCGGACTCACCTCTTTGAGTAAGCAATAAAAGACGGTCATGGGTTGTTGAATTGCGGTGGTCGCCGTATCTAAAGGGGGCCAGCGACAAGGAGTAAACTCCAACTAGTTTCGAGAGCGGAAAGACATAAAAGACTTGCCGCTTCGTTAGGTCCAAGACCCCACAGTTCAGGAGGAAAATGGTGAAGACAACGACATAGTCTTACCATTTGGCCGTCCTGGAGGGAGCCGATTGAAACACCCCCACATTTAGGCAGCAATGCGTTTCCTTTATGAATCATCTTCTTATTTTGACTGTATCAAAGTGTGGCATACAACAGCAGCCTATCTACTCAGCCATTTAGTCTCTTGCATGCTCTCCCAAACAATATCATCCTAGGCTTCACTATCTCTTCTCCGAGCGTTCGCCGGGTCACAGCTTTGCAAGCCTCTTGTCGGCTCTGAAGAATTGTTGGCCATGAACGATATTTCATCAACTAATCAACAGATCTGCGAGAGATGTCTCCGGATCGACTTTGTGAATGCGTTGTGGGCGCTGGAGCAGGGAAAGATGGACTCCCAGGGAATCATTCTCGATGATGACGCCGGGAGGTTCGTCTCCGGGGATGAGACAAATTGTGACCTCTGCAATCTTCTCTCAAACGCCGTTCCTTCGAGTTTCATATCCGAGTCCGAGGCGCAAGATTTCGAGCTTCGTGCGTTTTCGTACCTGCAGAACGGCATCGGTGTCAGGCACACTCTTCCGGGCGCACAAGACAGCCTGTTAGTTGTGGTCACTGCCAAGAACATGGTCATTTTTGACGAAACCTTTTTCGACGACTACGGCTATAATGGAAAGTCTTACGTGGTTCTTACAGACGGTAAGCTCGGTCCTTTGAAGCCGCAGGAAATCCCAGCGCTTTTCGACCATGGCAGGGCCCGTCTGTGGATTGACAATTGTAAAGAGGATCATGGACCGTCGTGCAATAAGCCTGTGTCTTCAGCTGCCATTCCAGGGATGAAACTCATCAACTGCAATACTCTCCAAATCGAACCTGCACAGCATGGTATGCAATGGATAGCATTGAGCTATGTATGGAGTCCTCAACCCTCGAGCTCTTCTGCCCAAGTCAATCGTCGATTGCCATCAGAACTGTCGGCTTCAGTCAAGGATGCCATGGCTCTCACAAGGCTTCTTGGGTACCAATATCTATGGGTTGATAAATATTGCATAGATCAGGGCAATGCGGCAGAGCTGAGCGACCAGATCAACAAAATGGACCTAATTTACAGCAACGCCGAGGCCACCATTGTGGCAGCTACCGGCCCAGATGAAACGTATGGCCTACCAGGCGTGGGTTCCACTAAACGGTTCAAACAAGACATCGTTCATGTAGCCGGTGCCGCAATTATCAACATGGGGCCTCACCCGGCTGTGTACGTCGAGGAGGAATTCCGTTGGTGGAAGCGAGGATGGACGTTCCAAGAAGGATTACTCTCCCGACGGAGAATTATCTTCACCGAAACACAGGCATTCTTCGAATGCAACACCGCGAGCTGGATAGAGAGCTTGGGAGGGATCGAGTTAGTCAAAGATCGGCAATCGCTCAATTGGACAAAGTGGAAGAACGGGACTTTCCTCTTGAGTCACTTCATGGGCCAGCCGGAAACCCAGGCCCCAACAGAGACAACAAGGCACGGAGGAAACGAGCTCTTGGAGAACCCCGCCGGAGACTCTAGGATTGCACGCCGTCTCGTCGACTTCTTCCGCCTGATTCAGCAATACACGACGCGGAGCCTGACCTACGACTCTGACTCGCTGAATGCTGCTGCCGGGATGTTGAAGATCTTGGCCAAAAGAAAGCCATCGGTTCTTGCCATCTCGGGCTTGCCCTACGTTTCACTCCCAGCACAAGACGTGTTGATCGACACACAAATATTCATTGCTATAAGTTGGTACCACAAGAGCGGCACGGTTATACGTCGAAGGCGGGAGTTCCCATCGTGGACCTGGGCAGGCTGGGCAGGCGCTATTCGTTGGATGTGCTATCCATTTCTCAGCTCGCTGAAACCATTGAATCCGATAATGCGCGCGGTCGAGCTCGAATTTGTGTCGGGATCATCTACCTTGTTGAAAACAAACTTTGAACATGGACTAAGTGATGTAATGGAGTCGCCTATCGCACTTCGATTTGAAGCGCAATCCGTTCCTCCCTCACTATTCTGCAATGGTCGGACTCCAAGTCATTGGTCTGAAATTGCAATCGGAAACCAACGCCTTTCGAGTGGCATGAAGACGCCTACGGAAACGCCTGTCGAGTTTCTCGAGCGTCTCAGAAGTGGCGTTTGGGGGTGTCTTCTTGTTGGGACGTATCGTCCTCGGCCAATGCTCGCGCCGCAAGCATATTTGATCGTGGTTGAGTGGGTTAGCGGCGCGACGGCAACACGCGTGGGCGCTCTCATGTTCGAGGGAAAAGAGACCATGAACGAGGATATTGGAAGGTTCTATGACGGACTTGATCTGTCATGGATTCGGCTTCGTCTCATTTGAACCCAGAGCTGCTCATACCTTCGACACAGTGTCCTGTCAGTCATCCTTACGAGGTTCTTTACCTAGGGTATTTGTAAGATGATGAATAAAGCTTCAAGACTGACGACGCTCGATGCATCATAGCCTTAAAGATAAAAATTGTGACTCAATCATTAGAATGGTCACTTGGCAACGCAACGTCCGCTGGTCCGTCATCGCCGTCTCGTCGTAAAAGAGGACGAAGTGCAGGGAAGGACGGTATCGTTTTGGGACAACGGCAGCCTTTAGCGATGACAAACTGTACATTTAGAAGTTGATCACTGCGCTTAAGAGTGTATAGGATTATTGGTGGTGTATAGATTTTAATTACATTAATTTTGGTGGCCCTCAAGACGATGTCAGGAACGTGATACTTCAGCCCAGGCTACATCTCTCTCGCACATGCCGCTTCAACGTTGCAACAATGAAGCCCCTTGTCTGTATTCAAGCGCTTCTGCTTCTTCTGGTCTCGAGCGCCGCCCAGATCATAAATCTCAAACCCGTTCCCAACTCCATCCTCTTGGCCACTACCTTACACCCCCCGGTGATCCTTCTCTCCTCCAACGAGACCGCAGCCGTCAAACGTGCTGCAGCGTCACTCTCCATCGACTTCGGCCGTGTCCTCGGAAAGAACAGCACCATCGTCTATGACACCTTCAACACATCCACAACTTTTCCCGTCCTGGTCATCGGAACATTAGGCTACTCCCCTCTCCTCAAGCTCCAAAACTCCTCCATTCAGGGGGAATGGGAATCTTACACGCACGAAGTGATTACGAACCCCTTTCCAGGTATTTCTTCAGCCTTATCAGTAGTTGGCAGCGACAAGCGTGGCACTGTCTACGGCATCTACGCCCTCTCTGAGCAGATAGGCGTCTCTCCGTGGTACTTTTGGGCCGATGTTCCTGTCGCTCCCTCGACATCCCTTCATCTATCTCTCGCCGGTACAATTCATACTCAAGGACCCCCCTCCGTGAAATACAGAGGCATCTTTATCAACGACGAAGAAACCTGCCTCACCTCCTGGGCCCGTACCCGCTTCCCTCTCGCCTCATCCGACCGCAACCGTCCCTTTACCTCTTCTTTCTATGCTCACGTCTTCGAGCTCATCCTCAGACTCAAGGGAAACTACCTCTGGCCCGCTATGAAGAACAGCATGTTCTATGTCGACGATGCTGCCAACGGCGCGCTCGCAGACGACTTTGGCGTGGTGATGGGGACAAGCCATCACGAACCCATGGCGAGGGCGTACCGCGAGCAGGAACGGGACCTCGATGGGAGGTGGGATTGGAGCCTGAACAAGGAGAATCTGACGGCTTTCATGAGGGCAAGTGCGGAGAGGAGCAAGGACTGGGAAACGGTTTACACGATGGGGATGAGGGGAGAGGGGGACACCGAGTCGCCTACGCTTACTGCGCCACAGCTGGAGGAGATCATTGCGGTGCAGCAGGAGATTCTGAACGCTACTCACGGGAGTCGTGCAAGTAGTTTACCCCAAGTTTGGGCATTATACAAGGTCAGTCTCACCATCAATTCCAGCGGACATGAGATTCTTTTGGCTCAATACGAGAAATAGGAAGTCGGGAAGTACTACCAGCAGGGTCTCCAGGTCCCCGACGACGTGACGCTGCTCTGGACTGACGATAACTATGGCAATCTCCTGCGCACGCCGTACCCCAACGAGACATCGCGCACGGGAGGTGCTGGAGTATATTACCACGTAAACTATGTTGGCCGCCCCAAGATTTATGAATGGATCAACACCATCCAGTTGGTCAAGACATGGGAGCAGATGCACCTTGCCTATGAGAAAGGGGCTAGAGAGGTTTGGATTGTGAATGTGGGAGACATCAAACCTCTGGTAAGCTGATTTCCTCCCTGCTTTCCTTTCTTGAATTGCTTGATTTCCATAATCTACCCCTTGTCCACACACATGACAGTAACCTATGCTAAACTTTGGCATCAGGAGATACCCATGACCCATTTCCTCGACATGGCCTGCGACATGTCTCTACACCTCACGCCAATGAGCACGACAATCTGGCTCGAAACGTGGATATCAAAGACGTTCTCCCCAGATATCGCGTCCGCCGTTGCGGACATCTTGAACCGATATGGCCGGCTGGTCAACCGACGAAAGTATGAGACGCTCAACATGCCGCCGTTCGTGTACAGCACACTCTTCTACGATGAGGCTTCCACGGCTCTTGAGGAGTGGGAGACTCTATTAGAAGAAACCTCGAGGGTCTACGAGGGACTTGGAGAAACATGGCGAGGCGCGTTTTACCAAATGGTTTTACACCCTGTAGAGGCTGGGAAGACGGTCAACGAGCTGTATATCAAGGCCGAGTTGGGGAAGTTGCATAAAGCGCAACGACGAACGGCAACGAATCGCCTTGCTACAGAGGCGAGGGCGGCTTTGCCCGGGACAAAGAAATCTCGGCAGAGTACAACGGGAACAATGGGGGTAAGTGGAAGGGGATCATGTGTCAGGTGCATATCGGGTACACACTGTGGTACGAACCGAGTAGCGACGTGATACCGAACCTGGATCATGTCAGTGATGCGGATGTGCCAGCGTCCGGGATTATGGGAGTTGCTGGGCAGGGCGCGGTCGGTGATGTGGATGAGAGGGAGATAGTCTTGTTAGAGATGGATCCGTACTTGCCGCCCGGGCAGAGTCGGTGGATTGACGTATTTTGCCGTGCGAATGGGACGTTTGAGTGGCGGATTGAGTCGAACGTGTCGTGGGTCGGGGTGGACAAGGATGAGGGGACACTTGAGGCCCCTGCAGATATGGATGAGGCGCGGGTGAACATCGAGGTGGATTGGTCTTCTGCCCCCAAGGGGCATAGCACCGCTGCCCTAACCGTTCAGAGGAATGACACAGAGGATGCGGTCACGGTTTTACTTCCCATTTTCAATCCTCCCGTTGTCGAGGAGGACCTGGTCGGACGCTGGATTGAGTCTGGCGGCGTGGTATCCATCGAAGCAGCGCATTACTCTGCCATCGAAACGAAGAACGGGGTCTCGTACGTCGAAGTCCCATTCTATGGCAAGACACACTCGGGAGTCAAACTTTGGCCAGTAGGTGTCGAGTCGTTGACTCAATCCACAGCGCCGAAGCTGCGATATGACTTCTTCACATTCACCGAATGTCAAGACGTCAAGGTACGGATGTATCTTGGCGGCTCGAGGAACCACGACATGACGCGGCCGCTGAAGTATGCTTTTACTGTCGATGACAGGGAGGCTATCGTTGTACAACCGGTTGGTGACGCGGGACTCGGAGAGGATCCAGAAGGATGGGCTGATTCTGTCATTACTGGGGGATGGAATGTGACGACAAATGTGACGGGGGAAAGCTTGAAGGCTGGGAGGCATGAGTTGGGAGTTTGGCTGCTGGAGCCGGGAGTTGTGGTACAAAAAGTTGTTGTTGATCTTGGGGGCGTTAGAGCGAACGGATTGGGGACGCCGGAGAGTCTGATACTGCAGGATGCTCGTTGAACATGATGGAATAATGAATTTCAGGTTTCATGGCGATATGAAGGATTCCAAAGGGCTTGCAGCTGGTTACAGAGGCTATTTGTGAACAGATGCCATCTGAAGGCATTGGTTCGAAGGGCCAGGCATACTTGAACTCTTTGCGAGGGGTACTGAAACCTGTCGAGCAACCTCTGTGGCTCAAGTGACTACAGCCATGTTGTCAGAAAACACAATGACGCTTAGACTCCTGATATCGCAAAGGAGTTTAGGAGCGCGTACGTGTCTCTAGGTCAAGCAACACTTCAGGAGATTAATTGAAGACTCTTAAAAGCTTCTAGATAGTCTCATAAATTGTGTCACGTACGCCTGTGTACGGATTGCAAGACCACATATTTCGCCACTTAAGTTGTAGTTAACTCTAAATGATCTTAAGTGGTTTAGGGTATTCAGGGGGGAATAGTGGTGGATATCATGAAAATATTCTGCCATTTGTGGTTCACAACTGGCAGACGTGATAGCAATCCTCCTCACGCACAGCGACGGCTCAGCCAGTGTTCGATGAGTCCCACACAAACTAATCGCTGCTACATTCCTGAGGGTCCTTCTTCTCTTTCTTCCTCGTGCTAAAATTTAAGCCCGATGCCCCAGCAGCAACAAGTGTTGCACCGGCGGCGGTAAGAGGAGCTATCAATGATATGGCACCTCCAACTACGCACCCAACACCCCCAAGGATTTGTAGCATGGGAACGATATTCTGGATGAACATCTTCTTTCTCTTTTTGGATTTCAAACTCTTCTGTATATGAATTGTTTGTTGTTGGATGTTCTCCTGATCCTGGCGAAAAGAATTTTCGAAAGATTCGTCATAAACAGGTGGTAGTGATGGTACTTTTGGTCGCGACAGCATCCCTTCTCGTTCCGATTCATAGATAGCCATGCTCTCTTGTCTCTCTTCCTCCAGACTTTGGAGTCTGGATTCTTGTTGTCGGAGCTCTTGTGACAAGGACTCGTACTCTTGACTGTTTTGACGCAAGATATCTGCAAAACGTGCTTCCTTCTGAGCACAGATATCGTCGAATGAAGTCTGGAGCTGGTTATTCGCTGCGATGACATCTTTTAGTTCCTCTTTTAGTGCATATCTTTCTTGGGCAATTCTCGAGGCTCTTTCATAATCCTTTTCCGTCTCAGCTTGTTTGTATTGGTCCCAAAGCTGGCTGATCTCTTTCTGTGATTGCTCCCGAATGCGAGCCAGGTCTTGCGTCAGCTCGCTCGCAGCCGAGCTGGCCCGAATATCTATTCCCTCATCCACGATTTCATGCTGTATTTTGAATACAGCGGGTCCTTTCTCGACGTACCTGCTCGAAAGCATATCGATGACTTGCGAGGCGGACCTTTTGCTGCCGTCAAACTGCATGACGCGGCTACCTCGGCGACACATCTGACCCCAAAACCGAGAGTCATCGACTAACTCCTGCTCCCTCTGGCAAGCATTCTCGAGCTGGGTAGTCCCAGGATCGATCTGGTCCCACATGGTTGTGAGCATAACCACGCGATCAAGAGTTTCGAAGCCGCACATCTGCTCCAACATTCTAAAATTTCTCGCCGTTGACCCGCTGACCCTATTCTTATTTATAGGATGCAAATATACTATTCCAGCAAATGCTGCATTCATCCTGTAGAGTTGAGTGAAGAAGAAGGCCTGCTCTTGCAGCACGTCGACATCAGTGCGGGAAGCATCGTCGAATCCAGGTGTGTCGACCAGATAGACTTGCCGGCCGGCCTTCGTCTCGTAGCTATAGATGCCGATTTCGGATGTCCCTGCTCGCAGTGGTCAGTTCTGTCTAATTCATTGTAGTTGCAAACTGTAGCCCAGGCCTGGATCATGTTCATCGGCCGAGCTTATATCGAGAAGACAGATCAAAGGTGTCGCCACGTACGAGAAGTTAGGCTATGCCCGACGCTTGTGTCCAGTTCAGTTAGAGTCGAGATGAATGTGCTTTTCCCTGACCCAGTGATGCCCAAAACAGCAATAATGATGTCGGACTTGGAAAGTCTACACAGCTATCAGAAATGTTTTACTTGCCATCACAACAAAAGAATGAACCGTGTCGTAATCTACCTATCGAGACATTGTACAGAGGAGCACTCCATTTTGAACAAAGCTGTGGTTCCTTCGAAACGTGTCAATTTTCCGTCGATGAACACATTGAAGATGTAGGACGAAAGAAACCAGTAAACGACCCCTGCCATATCGAGAAGTTCATGGTGGACTTAGTTATGTTTGTTCAATATGTGCACATCTATGTGGCTTCATCAATCAGCCCGATGACTCAAACAGAGGTTTGGCGGCATCTTGTCAGCCCATTTAGGTATGTAAGATTTCTCTTTTGGTCTTCGCGCCAATGAACCTTGCAGAAGCAAAGTGATAAGCCAGCCTGCCTCAGCATGACCTATCAAGTGCCTTCGCCTCCCTTTTCGGTGTCTTAAGAACCAATTGATGTGTCCATTGAACGCAGGCAGGCTACCAAAAATAACAGTGACATTCCCATAGCTGTAAATCGCACACAAAAGGTCAGCTTGTCGGGTGACCCCCCTCCATGCATGGAGTCAGAACCATTTTTAGCCAACTGCCATGTGAGTCGGATGCCTCAGCCTAGTGCGTTCCCTTCCTCCGACGCTTACTGTCCTCTCTCTAGTAAAGCATCTCTTTCTTGGTTAACCATACTAAGCTAACCTACTTCCGCTGTTGTGAGCCGATGTATGAACTTCGGCGTGTTTTAGGAATCTGGTTTTGCCCCATTCGCATGTCTTTTAATCGGCAGTATGGCAGATAAAGCAGCTTCACTCACATTCCAGCCGCAGCCCAGCGACGTCTTGATTGCCGTCATGGGAATCACAGGTTCTGGGAAAAGCACATTTATCTCCCACTGCACCGACAAGAATATTTCCATCGGAGAGGGTCTTCATAGTGGTAAGCATCCGCCCGTGGTATAACTACTGCCATAATCATTTGGTTTCAACTGGCAAGGATCTTCGGCTTATGTCTCGATGCTTCAGACACACAAGACATTGTCCCCTACCCCTGCAAACCCGATATTGGCGCCAACGTCTACCTCATCGACACCCCAGGTTTCGACGACACAGAACGCGACGATGCCGAAATTCTCAGACAGATTGCGACTTGGGTAGGCGACACATATAAGAAGAAGGTACATATCCGCGGCATCTTATACCTTCACCGCATTACCGACGTTCGGATGCAAGGGGCAGCTATCAGAAACCTCTTCATGTTCAAGAAGCTCTGCGGGAAAGACGCTCTACAGAATGTTATTCTCGTCACGACGATGTGGGAGGAGGTTCGACACAATGTCGGGATTCAGAGAGAGGATGAACTCAGAACGAAACCCGGTTACTGGGGTGAGATGATTAGTAGAGGCTCGAGGATGGCACGACATCATAACCACGATGAATCGGCGCGCAATATTATCCACACCCTTCTCGACACAACGACGCGGACCACGCTCGCGATCCAAACGGAGATGGTAGACGAGAACAAGGATCTCCACGACACCAGTGCAGGGAAGGAGCTGGACAGTATATTGACACTTGAGCGTGAGCGCTTTGCCCGCGATATTGAACAGCTGAAGCAAGATATGGCAGAGGCTCGAGAGCTTCAAGACAAAGAGTCACAGGATCAGATACAGCAGCTACAGAATCAGAGACAAGATGAAATTGCGAATCTCCTCCACCAACAGGAAAGCTTGAAGGTTAGCCTGGAACAGCTTCACGAGGAGAGGTTCGCAAAACTGGAGCAGCTTTTGACCACGCAACAGAGCCAAATGGAGAAGGACAGGTTGAAAATTGCGGAACTCAGGGAGCAGTTGGCTAAAGCGTCGCTGGTGAAAAATCCAGATCTGACACATTCGTCGAGCAACTTGGATGCAGCAACTTACAGATGCGTCCACAACCTCGAGGGATATACTAGTGAGGTTAATTCCGTGTTCTTCTCACCGGACAGCGAATGCTTGGCTTCAGGGTCGGGAGACCATACCATCAAGATTTTTGATAGCAAGCTCGGCCGCTGTCTACAAACACTTGAGGGCCATAGCCGTTCGGTCTCGTCCATAGCCTACTCTCCGGACGGACGCCACATAGCTTCAGCCTCGAGGCTGCAAAAAGGGACCATCAACATATGGGATAGCAGGTCTGGTCGCTCTCTCCAAAGACTTGAGGACGAAGATGGTGCGGTCTTCTCTTTGGCCTACTCGCCCGACGGCCGCCGAATTGTCTCAGCCACAGGGTCATCTGATAATACTGCTAAGGTATGGGAAAGTAGCACTGGGCGCTGCCTTCAGATACTCAAGGGCCATAGTGATTCGGTATTACCTGTGGCTTACTCTCCGGATGGTCGCTGCATAGCCTCAGGGTCGTCTGATAAGACGGTTAAGATCTGGCACAGTAGCATTGGATGCTGCCTACACACATTCGACGGCCATATGGGTGCAATTTGGTCTGTAGCTTACTCACCAGACGGTCGCTATATAGCCTCGGGATCGCAGGATAATGCTATTAAGATATGGAACAGCAACACTATGCGCTACCTTCAGACACTCGAGGGCCACAGTGGTACAGTCTATTCTGTGGCCTACTCGCCAGATGGCCGTTGCATAGCCTCAGGTTCGAGGGACGGTACCGTTAAGATCTGGAATACTAGCACCGGGCGCTGTATCCAGACATTGGAAGGTCATCAAGGTTGGGTATTTTCTGTGGCCTATTCGCCGGACGGCCGCCTCATGGCCTCGGGTTCGGCCGATAAGACCATCAAGATATGGCGCACGCAGCTTTCGGGTTGAAGCTCTCGTCCACATAGACTGGCTTCCAAACTACGACCAGTTAGATATCTATCTCATCCCATGCGTTAAGCTTTCCCTGATTTACTTACTGAGACTTTTCAAAAACTCTCGGTGGTACTGGACGTAACCCGCATACGTCTGTACGGACATGGAGTTACGAGCGCATCTATTGGTAATGTACTGGGCTTGAAATGGCAAAGTTGGAAGTCCATATTCGCTGAGCATTTGGCGGCTTTTTTAACTTAGGGCGACTACAAAGCTCAGTAAACCCAAGAATACAGGATAGTTACTGTCTCTACTTCTTTTGAGCATCATGTTCTGCCATATGACGAACCGAAAGGTCAAATCGGACAATTGTTAGCACCAGGCAGTGAAGGCAATTGTCAATTTTCTTGCCTGTCGCTGAAACAGGCCCATCACGATTCCCGGAATAAGGTAGTTTTTCTTGACAAGATACATAGTTCAACTGCCCGTACACAACCCGTCTTTCAATCCAAAATAATTGCATTCAACACGAATTTATTGACGGCCAGCTAATGATGGTTATGAAGCGAACTTTTGCTAGTACTTACAGGACAAGCCTGTTCAGTGATTGCCATCCGTAAGTTTCAAGCTCCTTCAAAGAGAACGACGAAGATGCTGAATGATGTAACCAGAAGCTACGCAGGCAGCCCAACAGTACTTCATGTACAGTTGCAGAGTCAACTCCCACAGAGCCTCAAGAAACCACAAACCCCCAATCTTCGACAATCACCCGATGAGAGTCCACTTTACATGCAGACCGATCGTGCCATGCCCGCAACTGGGTCTCTGTATGGCGTATCCCCTCCGCATGGAGCTACCAAGGTCATCAACAGGCATGCATACCATCCCCCGACTTCATTGGCCCGACAGCCTCACTTGTGCAACCCAATAAGGACGCACCAGGTCTCTCGACTGCAGCGACTCATGCAATCAGCTACACTAACGCACCGCCTCGCAAAGCAGGCCAAACGGCTCGCGATGTTGGGTTCGGTTTGGGTGGAGCGCGCAGGTCGCATATCCAGGCCGCAGGTCGCAGCAAAAGTACGCTCTCTCCCTGAAGCAAGAAGACATCACCAGGCTGCTGATTGCAGAAAGGTCCGGTTGCCTTACAGCCTGCTTGGAACACGATTGAGGGCAGGGCGGGCGGCCGTTGATTGAACGGAGCTGCATGAACGGCTCATGCCTCCGCACTTTACCAATTGGAGGGGAAGCGGGATGTGTGTGACCATTGCCAGCTCATAGAACACGCCCATCACTCCTCACTTGGGACCGTCGGGCGTTCACGACCTTTTTTTACCTTTACGCACCCCACAACGTGCGGTCTCGACATCATGACATTCGGTTTTCTAGCCTCAGCCCGTCGGCGTCGATAGCGCTTCCTTCAATAATCATCGAAAATACCATTGGAATTATTTCCCGCTGAATTAGCCCCGCGCTCTTCAGATTCGGCTTGTGCCTGAGCCGTGATCGGCCATCCGGTACCCTTGATACCCAACGCAACAGCGCCGCAACAAAACAGCCGATAAGATGACGTCCGACGAGTCTGATTTGTACGACAGCGACTCGGAGCCGGGAGTGGCGACGCGCACGCATCACGGACCGAAGAGTGTGCAATTTGACTTATCGTCGTCGCCGTCGCAATTCCTCGAAGGGATCCCCCGGAGGCGTCCGAGCAGCCGGTCCCATCACCGGCACAGAAGCACCGAGCGCCCCCCGAACCCTTTCGCTCCCGCATCCGCACCGTTCCCGGTCCCAGGATCTCGCGCACGCCCCATGCCGCCGCATGTCCAGACCCAGAATCTACCCCAGTTCTCCAGAAGCATGGGCGGGAACCCCTTCAGCCCGAATCCCGTCGACCCATCGCCGCCGTATTATTCATACCCGTCAGCGGCCGGGTACAACTACCCCCCAGGCCAGTATCCGAACAGCGCACCCCCAAGGCCGCCGTCATCCGGCCATCACCGGGCTAACCCGTTCGACCCTTCGCCCAGGTCGTACACAGACCGTGAAAGTCCGTACTATGGAATCCCGGTGCCGTCACAGCCTCAGCCGATACCTCGCTATGAGGGCAGAAACCCCTCTCGGCCAAAACCGCGCCCTATCCAGCCGCAGTCAGTCGACATGGAGCACGTCCAGCGGACCATGAGCAGTCTCCTCGAGCGCGAGAAGGCGCGAGAGAGGCAGGCTATGGAAGCTGCGCAGCGTGAGAGGGACATTGCCGTCCTCAGCAGGGAGATGGACAGGAAGATGAAGCTCGGTTTCGGGGAGATCCGGAACGAGCTGTTCCAGAACGACTTGAATTCTGAACCAGGGCCGCCGCGGTCAGAGTATGCAATGCGGATGTACACGACACCCGCGCGGTCTGTCGATGACCGGACGTACTGGGCCGGCAGACCCGGTGCGCCGCCGCCCGATCTCAACCAGCAAGAGATGGACCAGCTGTGGGAGGGCAGGAGACAGCTCGATCCCAAGTACGCGAACCGGATCCAAGGCCGGCAAGATCCCAGGCTGGAATTCGACAGACGGTCCTCGTTCAGCTCCCGCCTTGACCCGGAGCAGATGCAGAGAGCCATCCAGGCCGGCGTGGAGGTTGCCCTGAGCGAGCTAGACAACAGCTACGGCGCTCCCAGTCCTCTCTCGCAACGGCCTGCCTCGACTGTCTACGGAACAAGCCCGACCGCCCGCCGGCATTCGCAGCAGATGTGGCCTAACGGAATGTACAGAGCCGAGACGATGGAGCCGCGGAGCAGCCCCTTTGCGCCTCCGTCGCCCGTCGAACAGCGCAGAGCCTTCGACCGGCACGCGGTGGACAACCCGCAGACGGAAGCGGAATGGGTCGGCCGCCCGCGTCCGCGGCGGAGAACCGAAGGGATGAACATCACCGTCCAGCGGAGCGGCGCGCCGGGGCGGTCCGCCTCGCACAGAGACAAGCCGCGGTCCAGACCGGAAATACAGATGAGCGGGGGACGGGGACCGACGTACCAAGATGTGGGCGCATCCACCGCCGTTGTTCGAAGAATACCAGCTGATCAAGTTGGGCCTAGAAGATTGTACCCTAACGGGTACCGAGAACCGTATTTTGAGGAGGACACAGACTCGGACGAGTCGAATGCGCAGACGCTGGCCAGGTATCCGCCGCCGCCGGTGCCGGACCCCCCGAGGTGATTGACGAACACGACATGGGTCAAGTGGGAGACTGATTGCATGTGATGGAATGAGATGAGCCATATGTTTACATGATTATAGGGGTGCGGATGATTGTCAGCTACAATATTGGCTAGATTGCAAGGGCGTTGACATCACATTAGCGAGACTACTTTTCAGCTTCCTCTTGAATTTGACTACATCGAAGAGCGAGGATTTGCCATGTGCTGTTACCTGAGAGTTCTATCAAGTGAGGATATCACGGGAGAGGAGCGAAAGAGGTGTGCAAAAAAGAAGCATTTTCGCGCGACCCGGTTTCGATCCAGGGGCCTTGGCTTTAATGGAGCCACGCTCTGCCTCTGAGCTATCGCGCCGTCGTGGATTGTTGAGGAAGACGTGTCTTCGTCGGGAAATGAAGGATGGAGGCAGATACAAGGTTGGGATTCAGAAAGGTTGGTCGAAAGGGTGGTTGACTCATATCAAAGTACTGTTGAGAGATGGTTCAACCTTGTGTGAGGTAGGACTGACAGTGTCTCTACTCACCACTATCTGAATCGATGTCGAGATCTTCTCGAACCAGATGGGTTTAACTATTAACTAATATGGATGATCTGGTATATGCAGAGGCTTACCCTTCTGTCCAAGCCAGGATCGGCACGCTGTTATGCAATGTGCAAGCCTTTGTGGCTACTGATTCCCGGCGATCCTCAAGACACATGCTCGAATATCGACAGACATGCTCCTCTCGTCATGTTCAACGCCTCGCCCAAGCCTTCTCCAACGCCTCCCTTACCTTCATCGGCTTGATCTCGGGGAACTGGGCATTCGACGACCTCGCACTGAGATCGAACCTGCCTTGATCAAACAAAAGCATGTACGACGACAGCATCGTCTGCAAGGTGTCCTCGGAGAACCAGTGCAGCCCAACCTTCTGCGACGGCAGGATCGTCGCCTTCCCGCTGCGGTACACCTCGTCCCCCTCGTACTTTACAGACTTTGTACCTACGAGATGACCCTTCGTCAGTAAAGCAATTCGCTCTGAGGGAGGATGGCTGCAAACGTTACATACCCTTGACGTCCTCCGCAATGGCAAGGAACTGATTCCACGTCACCGTCTCGCCGACGAGAAAGGTGCGCGGCTCCCACTCTCGCACGTCGAGCCAGGCGGCAACGTACCGCCCGACGTCAGACGTGTGGGTGAAGGTGACGTTCACGTCCCCGGAGCCGGGCAGGACCGCGGCGTTGCTCGCCATGTCGACCACGACCGTCCAGGGGGTCATGTGGGACTTCACCGCGGGCATGCACCAGTAGTCGAGGAAGAAGCCGTTATGGAAGGACGTGTGCTCGAGGTCCGTCGTCTCCTCGAGCGCCTTCCTGCTGTCGAGCTTGAAGCCTGCGTTGAACAGGACGTCCCGGTCCCTGGACGTTCTTTGGTTAGCTCCGAGTTTTCTCCAGGAGGGGGGAGTAAGATAGGATGTGTGTTACCCCTCGTCCAAGGGGATGCCCCAGTCACTCGGAACGAATCGTCGCGTGGCTTTGGCGGCGTCCGCGGCTTGGATGAGCTGGATCTCGGGGATCTGGTCTCGTACTTTCAGGGACTGGGTGGTGGTCAAGGCCGAAATCAGCGTGTGGACGTTGTGTTTCTCCAACGTCCCTGTCGTGGCCTCCACGTCCGCGTAGTCGACCTCGATGATGGGCACGTTGAGCTCGTTGGAAAGGGTCGGGTTGGCCTGGGGAGTGTTGAGATGAGAAGGAAATGTCTCTCGAGGCAGAACTTGGGGGTGTCAAACCTTTCGGCTGAAGATGATCACATCGTGAGTGCCGGCTTGTTGTATGGCTTCCACAATAGCACGGCCGATGCCGCCAGTGGCACCGGCGACTGCGACGACGACCATTCTGGATGTGGTCAGGGGAATCTATGTTGAGGAAAGTTCTAGTCCACTCAGACTTGCACAGTATATGTGCTCAGAGCAATACGAGCCCAGGAGTCTCTTCGACGAGACCTGCATCGGCGTGTTCCTTTTATGATGTACGTTTCTACTCTGCGAGTGACGCACATCATACGCCCAGCAGACATTCCCAGCGGACTTTTCGGGGGAGAACAACATGATGTGCGGACTTGTGCAGACCATCAGCCGGCGGAGAATATCCTCCAACCTACAAAAGTTGGCGGAGTTTGAATCCCAAAGTCTCGGCCAAAGCCTTGTCGTCTCGTTATCGGACACACCAACTATCCCGACGTCCTCCTCTTGCGCAGCTTGCCGTCAAGAGGCCCCCCTGGGACTTTCATGTCCGGGTGCTGTTCCGGCGGGTTGCTACTAGATTCGGAAGCAGCATCCTCGAACGGCCAACTTTGGCGACACGACAGCAACGCTTTCTGATGTATCCTTGTGCCATGGTCGACTGCCTCCGCGTATATCTGGTCCTCCCAGAGCTGCGGCCAATAGACGGCGTTGAAACGCGAGGCCCAGCCTCGGACTCTAAGGGGGGTTTCGCATATGGACAACACTGGAAAAGGCTGGCATCATGTCGGAAACCAGAATTCGGTGACTAGAGCCAGCGAGGCCAATCTTTCACGCCAGGCATGTCGTGAAGGCTGGGACGGATGGCTTGATCAAATCCATCTGGATGGCAGACATTCGGAGACGGAAAGAGTAGATTGACAATTCGATTGCAGAGTTTACAAATGCATCTAACATGGCCTCGTCTCTACTCATCTATACACAACGCAACTGAGGTCTCGGGATCATACACATGGGGTATCCATTTATATTACTATTCACATGTAACGTGGCTCCTACGCCTCTCTATGCTGACGGAACGCACTCTACTCTATCGGGTCCGCTTCTACAATCGCTAGTCGCAAAGAGGTCGAAGCAATACAGGCGTCCTGAAGCGTGCCGCCTGGGTTGGGACATTATGCCTCCTCGGCGTTCTTCATCAGCCTTTTCTCATCATTATCCAGAGTTTCAATAGTCCCTGGATTTGGATATTTGGTCGTCGACCGACATAAAGCGTGTCCTTGGAGGAGTTTAATTTAGAGGCTCGACCTTACCGAGCCTTTTGGAGTTTAGGTGGCTTTTCCCACGACGTGATCAAGGCGCACCCTGAGGGACTATATGCCTTCTTTTGGAGGGGTGCTGGCATGCCGTGGAGTGCCTTGGCTCGAAGCCGGACTTGGGTCATTGACAGCTCACTGCAGGAACCATCAACGCCAACTGCATGAAATCGTCGTTACCAAAGACGCAGGTGTCTCACTCAGTAGATGGAGCACTCTGCCTCGGCGCGGCGGAAGGCATCCGCAAAGAAGGACTGCATGGCCGTGTAGTGGAACAGGATGCCGCCGAGAACGGCCAGATGCCACAGGTTGTGGCTGCCGCCGATGTAATCGAACATGCCGGGACACCACCTCTCGGGGATCTTGCTGGCGTACACGAAGGCGCCCAGGAGGTAGACGAAGATAGACTTTGCGATGGGCGTGTAAAAGGTCCACACAAAGTCGGGGCCGTGGGAGAAGTACAGCTGCAGGATGGGCAGGAAACCGGTGGCGCCGAGGCCGACGAAGAAGGCGACGCGGGCCCACGCCATGTCTGCTCCGTTGAAGGTGGGGTGCCAGGGGAGGATGACGCCGCCGATGCCGAGGAAGGCGGTGGTCGACATGTACGTCCAGCGGCTGACGGGGTCGCAGTAGAAGGCGGTGTATTCGGTGGTCACGATGGATGCGGCGATCAGCAGGGAGATGCCGGTGTAGTCGACACACGCAAAGATGGAGATTGCGTCGACGTCCGCGACGGCGTTCATGGTGTGCCAGATGGTCGAGCAGACCAGCGTCAGGCACGCGGTGAAGAAGAAGACGGCGGCGATGAAGATGTCGGTCTTGGTGCTGAGGGAGAAGTTGACGTTGCGGGGATAGAAGTAAAGAGCGACGGCCAGGACGATGAACAGGCCGATGGCGTGGGACCAGATGTTGACGAGCTCGTTTGAGACGCCAAAGGCGGACCAGATGCACTCCAGCTTGGACTCGGTAAAGCGGTAGCCGTTGCGGATGTGCGGGTTGATGCGCCACGGCATGGGCAGGTCGTCGTAGGTGATCAGCTTTGTCGTCCTCGCGCGTTCAATGGCACGCTCAATCGTCTCCTCGAGGCTCTCCGCCGCACGCTTGGCCCGCCCGATACTCTCGTCCACGACCTCGCGGGCGAGCTCGATACCGCCGTCGACGACCCTGCGTCCCTCGGACATGAAGGCTCCGGCGGCGCTCGTGGCGCTGGCCAGGCTCTGCTCGCGGAGCTTGTAAGCGCGGCTCTCGTACTCGGTGAGCATGTCGTCGAGCAGCTCGATGCCGACGCGGGCCTTTTCGTTCAGGGACTCGGCGGAGGCGAGGGCGTCCTGGTAGCGGGCTTCCAACGTCTCGACCATGATGTGCAGGCGCCTGCGGCCTGCGCCGAGGACTTCCTCCGAGGCGTGGGAGCATCGTGCGCGGACGGTCTGGAGGGTGGAGAAGGCGCGGGATATGCTAGAGTCGAAGGTGAGCTCGCCGTATTCCTCAATGAATTCGAGGCGGCGCTCGAGTTCGGTGAGAAAGAGGTCGACCTGTTTTTGGTGTAACGAAGTACATGTCAGTCATTTTTCTCTTGGTCCGATGCTCGGGTGTAGTGGGGGAGGTGTAACCAAACAAAACAAAACACCCTTGCAACCACAACTACAACAACAGCCTCAAAACTCACCTTCAACAGCAAATGCTCCTCTCCGTCCATGATGTGGCTGACGATTGACTTGCGTCTAGGGATGAAGAAGGAGTGTCGTCGTCTGCGGGCGAGTTCGGTGCCTTCGGGCTGAGCTCCGGAGGTGGTGGCCACGGCAATGTCTTCGTCGTCGTGGACGGCGGCGCCGGAGCAGGGGGACTTGAGCGAGGTCATGTTGACGAGGGGGTCCATTACTCTGCTGTGTTTTAAACGATACAGAAGTCGTTTCCCAAGCTCGAGGGGTTCGGCCTCGGCAGGATGGGATACAGACAAAACGCCTGCAGCCGATTAAGTCTCCGCCGGTCTGTAACGAGTAAAAGCTACCGGAGTGTTGGAGTCTTGGGGCTGGCAAGCAACAGGTTGCACCCGGTATATTGCAGCAGAAACGATGGCGGCTCTGCTCTGGAGGTTGTGTATAGTTGTGGTGGGTTGCAGTTGCGGCGAGCCGTCGGTGTTGACTTGCGAAGCCACGGGTGGGAGGCGAGGGAATCAATTGGCTTATACTCAAAGTCCGAAGGGGGGCCCAGCGAGAATGGGGGGGTTTGTGTGTGAGTGGGACACGGCGGAAGAGCGGATTTTGGGCGCTATGCTATCGGTTTTTTCCTTTCCTTCCTTGGCTTCTCCACGAAATAAAATGCTTCTAGTCTGTTGAGGGAGGAGGGGGGCCGATTTGCGGGCGGGATCTCAACAATGCGGTAGTGATTGGTCCGGGGGCCAAGAGAGTGCGCAGCTAGAGGTAAAAAGACGTGCAGATCCGTAAGATGCCTGGACCCTGAAGAGTGGTTTGTGGCAGCAGCCCGGGGGCGGCGAGACGAGGAACAGGAGGAGGCGAACTGTGACTTTTTTGGGGCGACTGGCTTGTGAATGCTGCTTTGCTCCCTGTGTATGAGACTGCAGGAGGTTGTTTGCACGTGTGTGTGGGTGTGTGGTAGTCTTCGTTCGTCCAGCCTTTTGGTATGTATGTGCCTCAGATCGGGAAGATAGGGATGGAGCTTTGGGAGGACGGGAGCAGGGGCGAGAGAGACAGAGAGCGGTTGAGCGGATTCGAGCGCAATTATGAGACGAATTACTATGGCTGCCGTTGCTGCTGCTGCCGCTGCTGCTGCTGCTGTTGCTATTGCCGCTGCTACAGTGCTTTGTTGTTTGTGGCGGTCTCCAACGTTAGGAGCCGAGTCGTGCGGCGAATACGCAAAAAGGACGGCACGGATGAGATGTCGGTCACCGAAGGCCGGCCGGACAGAAAGATAGACAGACACAAGAGAGGATGGGAGAAGGATGAGAGAAGGATGAGAAGTCAAGATTGAGAGAGAAAAGGATTTACTCAGAAGGAGATGAATAGGACCAATAAGCCCGCCAAAAAGGCTGGGCGAGGAGCTGGAGGAGGAGAATAGATTACCTTACGAATACACGAGCATACGACCGGGGTCTCTCTTCGGTCTCGGAGCAGGTGGACGAAATGGTCATGGGGGAGGATGGGGAAGAGGAGGAGAAGAGAGATCCGCACCGGAGGGAAGTGGGAGAAAACAAACGGCAAAAGGAACATCTTTGGACTCGTCTGCCGCTTCGCCTTTCGCTTTGCATTGCTTAAAAACTTACTGCATGGCTACTACTACTACTACTTCTTGCTGCTAGGTTCTCGACGCTTGCTAAGGTGGGTTTTAAGATTGCATACGAAGCCTGTATGGACATGTCCAGCAGCGCGAAAACAACAACGACAAAAGTGTAGCAGGCTAACAGCACATGGACTGCCCAGAAAAGGGATCCTCCCGCGCGCAATGCGGAAATGGGAAGAATGCACTCATGGGCCACGGATGAGGAGGAGGGACGGCCCTATGGCCCTCTCTGAATGGACGTCCGGTAAAGTTCGGCCCAGCGCGCATCGTGGCGGATCAGGCGCGCCACCAATAGCGTCATTCGACACCCATGCCGCCATGCATTGGATTTGGGATTTGGGGGAGACAGTCCCGTCCCAATCCCTAGGTAGGTTGTGCAACCCAAGACAGACAGCCCTGAAAGACACCGCATTGCTGCAGGTTCGGACCTGGGCCGCCGTTGTCAATGCCTGTGACCGCCCAATTGGAGCAAGTCGTACCTTGCGGATGGGTGGAGGACGTCCTGCGTATGTGCCTGTTGAGGCATGAGTGAACTGCGTCCCCCCCACGCACTTCTCTGAAGAAAGCAGCTGATAGCGCTCGAAGAGGAGCCCGGCGGATGGCAGAGGATGTTGAGAATCAGTAATACATATGTAGCTTGACGATCCCTGGTGAGGAGCATACTGCATAAGGTAGCTCGAGACTTTTGGCCAGATGCAGTATGCGGTGAGAAACTTGTTTGCGCAATGCCGTGCGTTTCGGAGTCTTGGTCTTGTCATCTTCAGTCTCGCTCTCTTTCCCTCTTCCCAATGCTCATCCGCGCTCTCTCACAAGACTCCGATACTCGTCCGCCCCCTAGCGTGCCTGGTGATGGCAATTCCTCAAGGCCGACATGTCTAGCCCCAAGCGCCATGGCGATAAACGCCTGCTAGCGAAATTCGGGACAACGCCCAATCTCATGCCCAACATATGTCTGGCTTTAGTGTAGTGCCCTGCCGTTCGAGGAGTGCCCTGGTAGAGACTCAAAGACTGAAATCCCATTCCACATTCCTTCCAACGTCCTTACCTACCCTACCCCACGGCCCGTGTCTTGTCTTTCCAGACATCATCGCCTCGGTACGTAGTGCTGGCTTACTGCTCAGTGCTCAGCCATCTGAAGACTGACGAGTCCCAAGGAAACGATGACCGAGGCCAAGCAAGCGTGGGAGTCCAGCGAAGCATCCGCCCTCCAACTAAGCCAGCGGGACGCGCGTGGATGACTGAGATGACTGACTGGCCCAGCGGCCCCAAAACACTGGGACCCTACCTCCGACCTAGGTACCTTAGGTACCCTCCGAGAGCCCATGGGTGGGACGGCACGCCGTCCGTCTGCAGGACCAGCGGGCATGGCGGCAGCACCGTCCTGCTACCCGCGTCCACTGACCAGTAAACCCGACCTCGCTGGGGCACGGTCCCCGCGGCTGCACCAATTTTCTGCAACGTCCGCCTTCTCCCACTCCGCCTTGCTTCTGTTGCGTTGTTCTACCTAGCTGAGCTCCCCATTCTTTGAGACTTCTTTGATCCGAGGCGAGACGAAGCAAGGCGAGCGAGGCCCGATGACCGGAAGAAGCACACGCACCGTCGCACGTACCTCTGACCCTTGCACCAAAGAAAGTGCCCCCCGTCCGTCCCGCCAAAACGACGCCCGAACCGTTCTTTGTCCCGCCCTCCGAAGCAACACCACCACCCCCTGTCCGATTCCGATCTCATCCTTCAGCCTTGCGAACGCGGTCGCGCAAACCGGGGCCAGACCGACGACACGATCCCCAAACGACTCAGCCGCGTTGTACGCTTCTACTGTCGACGGCACCATCTCCCACCCGCCCAAATCCATCTCCGCAAAGACATCCACCACAAACCATGGCGGTCAACGACCTAGTATCCGACCCGAAGCTGTCCGTGGTCCTGCAGACCTCCGGCTACGCCCAGGACCAAGCCGCGAAGCTCCTGCAGCTCCTCACCGAGGTGTCTGCGGCCGGCGACGCCCTCAACCCGGAGCTGCAGGCGGGCCTCTCCAAGGAGCAGAAGCTGCTGCTCACCAACATCTCGCACCTCCGCGGCCTGCACCGCGCCGCCAACTTCACCGCCAGGGAGACCAAGGCGCAGACCGCCGAGGCGCGCCACGAGGTCGACCGCCTGCACCTGCAGCTGCAGAACCTCTACTACGAACAGCGACACCTCGAGGGCGAGATCGAGGCGTGCGAGTCCTATGAGTACGTTGCGGTCACGAACCCGTTGAACCAGAGTTTGCTGACCGCGAATCGCGCAGCCATACTTACCAGAAGCTTCCCCTCATCCCCGTCGAGGATTTCCTCGCGCAGTTCCCCGAGCACGCCGACGCCGACGAGAACGCCCTCATGATTGCGCGCATCGGCCACGAGCGCGCGGAGCGCGAGACCCTCGAGCAGCAGCGGCTGGAGCTCGTCGGGAGGAAGCAGAAGCTCATCGCCGAGAACAAGAAGAGGAAGGACGACCTGGCGAATCTGGACAAGGACCTGGAAAAGTTCATTGATGTCAGTCCATCACCCGTTATCCGTGTCGAGATTAAGGCTAACGTCCGATACAGGCTGCGAAACCAATCCAGGAGCTCTTCGAGAAGGTCGTCTGAGTGCCCGGCGTGTCAGATACAATCCTCGGCCAGCATATGTGTCACGACCGCAATCTTCCAGCTGAGCTTCACTTCGACCGGGATCACTGGTCAATATGGAAGATGGAATACGATTACCAATCCCGCGAACCGTTCCAGCATATATCTCCGACCAAGTATGGAACAACCCGAATTGACGATTCGACGGGGATGGGAAGTCTAGACGCCAAGGACGCCGTAGGTCCTGGTATATCAAATCTCACCTCGGCACGGGTCCTCCATCAGGGAAATAAGAGGTTAGTCGGGGCGAGATGAAAGCGAGGGGGCGACCGAACATGTCCGCTCCCCGCCCTCGCTTGGGAGATGGAGCTCTTGCGGCAAGGTGCCCGAAGATATCTCGGCATCCTCATCACCAGGTGGACACTGTATGCACCCCGGCGGAGGAAAACAAAAGTTGAGGGATTTTGGGTTGCAATCCCTCGAGCCGCGTTTCCGAGAACCGGCAGATACGGACAGCATCGGGTTTACGGATATGGAAAGCGAGAGCATGGCTGTTGGGGTCTCCAATAGACGGAGGCTGCTGGTACTACTACGGTCTACCATATTCGACAGCGCGGCCAGCGTCATCATATTTCGTCACGCTGTCGTTGCTTGCGAGCTTGAATCTTAATGCAATCCGACACATACGCCGTTCAGCCCTGTGAATGCCATTGTGACACTGTGACTGCCGCGACACACTCCCCCCGGCATACCAGGTCCGCTAAGAATTGCCGAGGCCGTTGGGACATGGCATGCGGGACGTCCAAATTGTTCCCCGTCACCGGCCCGCCGCCACTTGGGGACTCCGAGCGAGACGGCATATGGCCGGTCGTCGATCAAGCGGTCCGGCGACATGGCAAACGAAGCACGCGTGCGTAGGCTTGATTGAGGATTACTCCGTAAGGTACAGAGAGCGT